CGTGAGCCTCGAATTAACCTTGTATAACAGCGAGCGAAGAGCTACACCTAGGATAAACGCCATCGCCCCAAAGTACCTGCGAGTCAACGCAAACGGGTAGCCAAAGCTTGCACCCGTTGCCGCCTACGCAGTGTCGATGCATACTAAGTCTTTTGACAAATAAAGGAATTGCAGGCCATGGTATCTCTACCCGACCTTCAACATCCTACATTATTCGAAATTCGAGATGGTGTGCAGTCCAGCAGAAAGCTCTCATACCGCGGTGTAGACTTATAAGCCTTCCACTTGACCACGCTCCCCCTTACAAGCCCTTTCTTCTATAATGCATGTCCTCTTTATGCTCATCAGACACCTCTCGGGAAATATCACCGTTTCGCAGAAATCTCAGGATGCGCTCTACTCACACGGCACAGAATAGACCAATAAAGGACCACAGTTCACAAGCCGTAAGCAATAGGGCGACCGCTGCTGTGACAACCATATAGGCAAAGATGGAATGATTCGGGATCCCATTCATGCTGAGTAAACTGGCTGCAAATCCCGTAGGCAGGAAGAGAGCAGTGGTGTATGAGAAAAGGGTGATATTCTCTGCCTCCTTGAGGGACTCTTTAGACCGAATGGCATCTTGTGCATTGATCACAAGCGTGATGGAAAAACTTGATACGCGCTGCCGTTGTCTTGATCTCTCTGACCTTACTTTCGAAATTGGCTAGTTTGTGATCAATCGTTTTGCGATACTTCTCTTCGTCGCTGCGTGTCCAGCGCGGCCGCCCTCGTTTCTGTGCACTCTCCCGGTGGTTCCGCTGCTCGATCAGCCCCTGGAGGCTGATGACATTGTTTTTCAAGATAATCAACAATTGGAAGCACTGGAGAAGTTCATCAGAGTTGCGATCTTCAAAATATCCTTCGAAAAAGTCCTCTCGCTCAGGTCTGATGTGTGATGAATAGGCTGCAGTTCAAGGTTTCCAAGAAGTTCATACTGTTCGTTACGCTGCTCAAGATATCATTAAACAATATTAGCTCAAGGACCTTGCGCTGTTGCCAGTGCTTGCCGTGGTAGTAGTTTCCATCGAACTACTTTCAGTAAAATTTTAGTAATCTATGAGAAATACATCAAGAGGAGATGGTGGAACTTTCCCTACCCGAATTTAGTTTAGCGCTATCTGAGTGGGGCGCTGGGAAAGAAAGCGTGTGTCCCAGGGATAATCTGTTTTTGAATTCTACTGTACACGCTCGCACGATTAATTCCAATTTCAAAGCCTATTCTTGGCACAGTTTCAAACTCTTTCTTTCTTCCTCTTCTGTCTTCTTCGCTCTCTTTTCTCCCTCCTAGACAATGGCTTATGATGACGAGGATGACGACCCCATCATATGGCCCCCAGTGGCATGCGGAAACGCAGAGGACCCCATTGGCACGGCGGCCGCACGAGCGGCCAACGCACCGCCGCTGCTGCCGGCCAGACGACGGCGGGCTCTGACAATTCCGCTTCCTTCTGAAGATGGCGGAGAAGAAGGAAATGGCGAGGGCGGCAGCAGAGATGGAGGAGAGCAGCAAAGCAGCAGCAGCAGATACATGCTGCGAAACCGGCCTGGCCCAAATATCACAAAGGCTGCCCGCAAAACTTCACCTTCGGGCAGTCAGCGCACAGCCGACCAATCGCAATCTCGGCTGCTTTCGACACTGCCCGCCGAGATTCGCCGAGTTATTTGGAGGCACGCCGTGGGCGGGCAGCTACTTCACATGGCCCGTGTCCCCAACAGACTCGTCGCTCTTGAATGTGCCCAGCCAAAGGACCTGACTAAGGACCTGGAGACTCTCAGGCATGACTGCTGGTGCATGACGAGAATCGGAGCCCTTCGTGGTACCATTACACGCGTTTACCGAGCCAAGAACAGTGCTCAACCCACACGACCTGCTAACCTTCTTCCTCTGCTGCAGACCTGTCGGCTAGTATACACTGAAGCAGTGTCAATGCTATACCAAGACAACATCTTTGATATTGATCACGTGGATACACTCCTTTACATACAAAGATGTATACTCCCTCAGCGTCTACATCAGATTACAAGACTTAACTACTCTTGGGATTTCTCTCAACCTGTATATCCAGACTCTCCACAGTACAAGACCTGGCGTGAAGCGTGCATTGGGCTCTTAAGTCTCAGCAGACTACAGGAGCTTACAATACACCTCACCGGCACTTTCCATGTATCCCCGGAGTATTACGAAAGTAAGTCCTGGGTGCCCCTGCTGGATGGACTCAAGCAGGTCAAGGCAGCCCCGCGATACAACGTGTATGTCCCATGGTCCGAGGAGGAGTGCAGCTGGGCGGCCGCTGAGAATGACTTCCCTTTCACCTTGGTGTCTCGGCCCCAGAAGCCGCTTACCCCACGGAAAACTGCCAAGGGCGAGACCATTACGCTATTTTAAATTTTGGCTTAGGCTTTGCTGGAGCTGGCTTCGGTGTGGCTTTTTGTAGAATAAATCCAATTAGCTAGTTTATCTTAGCGGCGTTCTAGGCGGCGATAACCTGGACTTCTAGAAGGATACCTATGCCAATGCATCACGGATATGACCACATCATCTGTATCTTGTGATAGCCGGACATGCATGCATTTAATTATGAAAATACCGGACTCGAGTAGTAAACCGATGGTCTCCTTGGTGGGCGGGCCCCTATCTTGCTATTGTTGGCGCCAAACATTTTACTGCATACAGCATCGCGTGGATCACCAGCCAATGCGCGCGCAGCCAACGACCCGCTCAGCTCTCTGCTTCCGTGTGTTCTTTTCAACTTCTTTCTCAGGCGCTAGCGAAAACATTAAGTGATGTGACTAAGCTTTGAAGCAGCATCTAATGTTTCTGATATGGAAGGCGATATGGGGCGCCACAGTACAGGCCGAGAAACAAAGCGTGCGCGTCCATGAGGGAATCTGGTTTGGAAATCTACTGTAAATGAAAAATGCCACTGTAGGCTGTTCTCTAATCACAGTACATAAAATATCTAGACCAAACGATTGTTTTCGTTGCAAGTCACTCGAATAGTGTAGATGGTCGCACGAGTTTCGGGACCTTCGTCATGGAGAATCTCTGTAGTGATAGGTTTTCTCCAAAAAAGTTCCAAACAGACTACCAAAAAGCAACCTCATGATTTGTTGAAGGTATGTAGGGGCTTGAAGGGGTATAACCTCGTCCGGGTGGTAGTTGTCCAACTGGTTGGGCATAATATGGAGTTAAGGCTGAAGTGTAGGCTATCGGGTTTGAAGTGGAGGCTGTTTAGGTCGGATTATAGGGCGCAGTTGGAGTGTAGGCAGAGAATGTTGGATTGTAGGCAAAGGACGTTGGATTTTAGACTGTTGAGGTTGTAGATGGCGGGATTGAAGATGAACAAAGCCAATATGGGGTCGGCGAGTGCCAAAGTGATGGATAGTCCGGCAACAATGATGGTGAGATACCTTCCATGATCACCTCTAATAGCGTGAAAGCAGTGAGTGTTTCCTTGGCTTTCATGAGAAATGACTTCAGATCCTTGGAATTGATCCAAGTCGGTGTATCCATAATATGAGCTTATTTTGTGGTTCTGGAAGCTGTGGAGACATGGAGGTCCTCCAAATCATCCCAAATGGACTGAACAGAGCTATATTGCTCTTCTGATAAGTATTTCGGGGCCAATATTACCACAGTGACCAGGATTACAAGTCTATCACTTCCTCATTTTCCAGTTGGTCCCAGTTAGCGCCTCCAAGAGCCTCGACGCGGCCAAAAAGTTAACCTTGTCCGTTACACTTCCGCTACCACGAAGCGGTTGGAGGTTCTTGCTCCTGAATCGACAGTCGATTCAGTTGATAAGGTGGCGCCAGCCAAGGAATCGAACTCTTTCTTGTCGTGGGTCGAGCAAAAAGCTCGTCAAATAATGAGCAAGTCCAATCTTGTCAAGGTTATCGAGTGTTTCCAAACACCTGCGTAGGCGCGTGTGCGAGTCTCTTGACTCCATAAGGCTTGAGCTGTCTGCGACCCAGGCTTTATATATTGAGAAACGAGCCTTTAGTTCGTTACCAGATACTGTCTGACAACCTTTCGATGACACGGCAAACTCGGAAATAGCATGTTCGCTTGTCGCATGGGAGCCATCAAATACTGAGGGCATCATCCACAACTCATAACCTCGTTCCCGAATACCATCTGTTTCAGCGAGGTATTCCAATTTTCCAAGGCCATCGCTTGTTACAATGAAGTGAATTCCTTTGAAAAAGCGACAAGTGAATCCCGCGAGTGATGATCTGTACAATACGCGACATGATAATCTGAGCTCTTTCCACTCAGAGAGCTGTAGATGGCTACAGACCTTAGACATCACCTCAACTAGTAGGGCTGTGATGGACATTTTGACTGAAATTCTTGCTTCGGAGATAAGAAGTTACAACGAAGCGCTCAACTAGAGGTTGAGGATTGCATAGACTACAAGAGTTCAGGGTTCAAGTCTGCATTTCAAAAAAGAGAGAAGTTGGATGAGAGCATGTTAAACCCCCGAATTGGTGCGATACATACGCCCCACTCCTACTGCCTACTACAGAAGCAACTCCATGAGGTCTAACGCCCAGAGCTCTATCCTTAGAATTAAATTGAACATGTGATGGACAGAAGCTATCTCTGGAGCAATGGGGGCTTTGGATAAGAGAGCTTGGCAGAGAAGTTCCTAGCAACCACTTTTCATTCTCTCGCCCAGCTGAAGTGGCCGGCACGACCGAGGGTGAGTGCGCTTTAGACAGAGTGAGAAGAGGGTGAGAATTGCCCCCAAGTTGCGCGACCAATGAACTAACCCTCTTAGCTAAGGGACGGTGAATAGTCATTGGAGGGGATATCTGTCAACAAATGTTAACCCATCACTTTCTCCAGTATATATTACGATAAATATGCATCATCTGTCCCCTCTTTACCTACTAAACAACCAACCAACCAAGTGATCTACGTCTTCCCAATGCAAGTATATACCCGTGACTCATTTTAAGCCATCTCCATTGATCATATTATGATACTTTTTTTTTTTTTTCCAAACATGTACTGGCCTAGCAAACCCCTCTTCATCCCTCTCAACTTTCAGTATCCTCTCAAATCCCTGCGCTTTCAACTCATCCTCAAACGGTGGCCTAATCTGGATCGTCTTATACGTCTCTCTCAATTCTTTATTCCTCTTTGAAGCTCTCGCATAATTGCTCATAGGCTGCGGCTCCACGACGAGATAGCCCCCCTCATTCAGTATGCTTTGTATATGTGCAAATAGCGTCAACATCCCGGAGTCCCCGTTGTTGAGATGTATCCACTTGGTAACAGAGAGCAGTAGGACAACGTCGAACTTGCCCAGCGCGGTACCCGTGTATGCGGACGCATCCACGAAGTCAAAGTGCTCAAATGTGCACGGCCCGTCTGGGTACGCCGCCTTCGCCTGCTCGACCAGCCACGGGTCGATATCGACGCCGACTGAGGCGGCCGCGCCGCAGTGCGCTATCGCCTCATGGGTCAGTTTGCCCGCGTTGCAGCCTAGGTCTATGACTCGCGCGTTGCGGAGGATATCTGATGGGAGAATGGAAAGGCGCTCGTCCGGAACGGTGGGCGCCCGGAACTTAGCGTAATATTGGTGGTAGTTGCCATGGCGCGCGGCGAGGTGCGTAGCTTTGAAGCGCTCTGCCTTGGAGAGTTCTGTTGCAGGGGGGTGGTGATGGCATGCTTCTGCCATACTTGGAGATAGTGCGAGCAGAGGGGCACGTGTTGGTAATGATATTGATTATGTCGAAAGAAAAATGTGTAATGATGTGACTAACGTTAAGTTCTAGCACACTAGATAGAACATATATTAGGATTTAAAGGTCTTGAAATTTTGTGTTCAATGCCAAATTTTTGTTGCGCTCCCGTGAGGTTTGTAGGGTTTGCATACTCTCGGTGCCTGAGACACTAAACTACTTAGCAAGTAGCCGGCTGCTAGATTATCACTACTACCGGGGCCTAGTGATCATATAGAAAAAGGGTTTTATATTAAGGCTAAACGAGTGCTTATTGCTTGGTAATAGATTCTCCGTATAGCTAGTACCTAACTAGGACTATCTAATAGAAATCATACGATCCTTACAGAATCTTATTGTTCTACTCCATTGGTCATGTGACAGGTATAAGTGGGCCTATAATTTATGCGATCTGAGTGTTGGTCTAGCCCATGGAGGAATACTGTGTCCACTGATTAGATCTGTCCAGTCTCAGAAAGGGAGCAATATTTTCCGAAATACGATGGCGAAAGGGTGTGAAAGGGGACTTTAAGCAGTGTAAGAACTCGATCCTTTCGGGATATCCACAATATGACGTCAGCTTTGCTTACTGTTTTTTTCCGCGTTTTCACTACTTGTGCAACCCTGACATCTATACCGAGGTCGTACTCAACATGCCATTCAGACAGGCGCTTCAAGGCATTATCGATAAAGCAGACAAAGCTTGGGAGGAAATAAGCCGTCCCGCCTCTCAGCCGGTACCGTCGTCCAACAAGCCTCCCCCACCGCCTATTCCAACCTCTAGCAAACCACAACTAGCTTATCAGGAACAGCACTCGCAACCCCAGATCTACTGGCGGCCCAATCTACATCCTCAAGTGCCGGTGTCCTCCAACTTTCACCACGAACAAGGTCAGCATGGATGGGGTAACAATGAGTCGCAGAATTATATCGACAGCCCGCAAAACTCATTCCATTCAACCCAGGGCGATGCGGTGATTGTGCGCGCTCTGATCAACCACGGGCATCCCGATCCTGCCCAGAAGTTTACCAGCGCCAGACTGTCGAGTCTCCAGACCCTCAGCCGACCACGGGGCTGTCTGTCGGCCAGAATTACGGCGCCCGTGGCCCGGGGTATCTGGCCTGCCTTTTGGCTGCTGCCTAAAGACCCCTTCAAGTGGCCCGAGGATGGCGAAGTCGACATAATGGAAGCGTGGAACGGCGATGCTGTCAACCACACTTGTTTGCATTGGGGCCACTTCAACGGCCAGGACTGGAACAAGCATCGCGTTCTCGAAACCCCCATCCCCAATATTAGCTCGCCGGCGGGAGTGAAATACGATTTTATCTGGGACGAGGACGAAACAACAGGCAGAGGGCGCTTGGTCTGGTTGATTGATGGCAGGCCCATCATGAGGGCCGAGAAGCCGTCTGGCACGAGGAAGATGAGTGAGTTCAGAATCCTCATCAACATCGCTGTTGGAGGAAATGTCTGTCAGGGAAACATGCCCAACGATGGATACTACGACACAGTGGTTCGTGAGTTGGCCATGTGGGATGCGCCGCCTGGGGGTTGGAAAGAGTTTGACAGGGCTTGGAGGGATTCCAAAGACGGCAATACCATGTAGCGAAAGGAAGGAAATTTACATTGCAAAGTAAATCAACTATACCCACACCTCATACTTTCTACAAGAGGTACCTCTGACTAGGCGAGTGAGATGGGTTGCCGCATAGTGATAGATCGAAATTAATAATTTTAACAAAAGTTCAAAGCGATGCATCTTGGCTTGTAGTTGGTTATTCTCGCAGTTCTTGCCTTGCGCAAGAATCAATCAATCTACTCTTTTTTTTTTTTTTTTACATAAATAAGCTACTTCTGCATTTCTGTTGGCGCCTTGGTTGCTCCAAACCCCATATTCACTGATCAACATCAAGTTCGGAATGGCTAGACTCTTTAGACTGGAAGAACACCGCTGTTCTCGATATATTTCAGTATTAGGAATCGGATATGGTCTTGGATGTCTCCACTACCACGTCTGATCAGTCGGCCTTCTGTTGAAGATGTTGAAACGGCCTCACCTCCTTGCTCAAACTCAGTTGATGAATATCCGGATAATATTGGATCCGTTAGTTTTAGGTGAATATATTTTTCAGAATAAAGCAAATCATAGTAAACTCTAGTAGAGCAAAATAAATGGTCCCTAAGCTTAAAATTTTATGAGTTGGTCCCTATCAACCCTAGGTGAAAATTGTCACCCTGTTCTCACCTCTCACCCACTCTCCAGACTTCTCACCCATATCGCCCGCAAGAACCCTCGAGTGCCGCTTAGGTACTAAGGGCGGGTATTGGGTATTGGCCGTGCAGAATACTCGCCTTAAGTACGGCTGCGCGGACGGGAAGCCCTTATAGGCCGCCCTTCATACTGAAATTAACATTAAGACTGTGAATCAATTTATTTGTTCGACATTCTAATAGCAAACGCTTCGCGCACAGTGGTTGCAGTGTCACAATGATGTATAAGAAAAGGAAAGTAGGGCCCCTCTTCCAAGTTCTTTGACTAAAAGGGCCTTGATAGCGGGCTTCCAACGTAGGTGACTGGCAATTGTGATATGATTAACAAGGAATGATGACCACGCTCGCTTTTAGCACATTGTGACGTTGAATGGTCTAACGAAAGACAGAAACAGAAATTTGAAAAAGAAACTCCGAGTCGGGCTAGATTACTGTATGATATCGGGGAAGATAAGTCTAAAAACATCAAGATAGAAAATCACACCAAATATTTATACTTCGGCTCACGTGACCACGCGCCGACGTTCCATGTCCAAACCAAACACAGTTTAACAACAAACTAATTGCCACGAGCTCGAAAGGTCGAGCAACAAAGTTTCGGCGTCACAATGCCCAGACACCCCTGACCACAATGCTATCCACCGTCCCCCTCAATGTGGGACGCAAACGCGTCTTTAACTCCGTCTTCTCCCCCGCGTCGCTCGAAGCTCGGCCACCGTTCGCATCTCTTTTCAATCACGACCAGACCCCGTTCACCTCATTCCAGTCCGATGGCTCCTCCTCGACCGTTAAGACCGCGTCTCAAGTGACTGTCTTATCTTCTGACAAGGAGCCACTCGTGGACCGACAAGCCTGGGACCAAGCGTGGTCTGCGGCAACTGTCTTTCTGTCGGTCCCAGACCGCGGGTTTGCGCCAATCTATGAAGCCAGAGACACCGATGGAAATGAAGCATTGAAAGACTGGAATAGACTCAGTCCTCCCTCGAAAGAGACTGGTGAGGCGCTCACGTATCTAACAGCTGCGGCTCAGAATGCGAGGACCACATCAGGTACGACTGGGCCGAAGGACCTTTTTAGCTGGTATGGAGATGAAATTCGGCGACACTTTTTGATGAACCTTCGTGGCGGGCTTTGCGAGGTATGAATACAAAGTGGCTTGGCCGCAGGCTCGTTCCTAATATGTCGTACAGCTTTTGCGAACCCCCGAGAAAGATGGTCTCTTACGAACGATTGTCGACTGCTTACAACTCGTGCGTCGAATCTACTTAGCGCCCATCGTACACTATCTTCTACCCTTACTACCGACGGCCGAGCAAGGACGGGTGTTGACTCACTTACAACGGGGCTTCCACACAGTTGTCTCATACTCTCTTCCGTGGGCCGAGATCTCGAAACTCCTAGCTGAAGATCTCGCACAAGAATCTCTGGTCATTCTGGGAATCGATACATTACTCGAAGAATCAAACTCCGACGAAAACAGCCAGGATGGTATGGAAGTGGACCGGCAATACTCCGTTTCATACGAAGAATGGAAGCAGGAAAGCACAGAAAATCGAGCACACATGATGACGGAGGGCGAACAAGACAATGTTACAATTGCTCGAGATCGCCTTCTAGCTTTTCTTAATGGCTTACAGCTCGTCGGCCTTGGTGGTGACAAAGCCCAAAAAGTGTTTGCCGGCGTGATGAACATTATGATGACCGAGTTTGTTCGCTCAGCGTACACTGGAAAGTGGGAAACGCCGACCTCTGCTACTCAACACTTAGGAAATTGGATTGAAGATGTCTTTGCGCGGCTCGCTGTCCAGGTTCTGGCTATCATCCACACGCCACCATCTGGGAACCAAACATCCGGCTCTCTGGATGTGAGCTTTGGGGATGTGGAAAAGTGGCAGGAAATCGGCATCGCTCGCTTGGGAGCTCTGCGGACCAGTGAGCTATTCGATGTGATCGTCGATTGGCCTGCAAGCAGTGGCGCCGTTGAGGATTTGCGACACTTCACAACACATCCGGCGGCGAGGGCCTATGTCACGCAGTCGTTTATTAAAATTCTAAATCAGCGCCTGCTGCACCCTGGTGCCTCGACTGTTGAGATATTACAGCTGTACATCTCGATTATTCGGGCATTCCACCTCCTAGATCCTAAGGGAGTCCTTCTGGACCGTATCGCTCGACCGATTCGACGATATCTGAGAGATCGCGATGATACCGTAAAGGTGATCGTCAGTGGCTTGCTTGCTGAACCACAGACCGCAGAGAAACAAGCTTTGCCTTCCAGTGGCGACACATTGGTAGAGCTGTCCACAGAGCTGGCAAAGGCACACCAACTATCTATGCAGAACAACACTAGTGAACTGGACTGGGATGATATGAACTGGGTACCAGACCCGGTCGACGCTGCACCCGACTACCGAAAGTCGAAGAGTTCCGATGTCATCGACAGTCTAATCAGCTTGTTTGATTCCAAAGAAACATTCGTCAAGGAACTGCAAGCTCTCCTGGGCGACCGTCTCCTACAAAGACGCGAAGATTTCGATCAAGAGATCTCTGTTCTGGAGCTCTTAAAGGTCCGATTCGGTGACTCGGCCCTACAAGCCTGCGAAGTCATGCTTAAGGACATATCCGATTCCCGCCGCGTCGACACCAGCGTCCGCAAAGACCAAGGCCTCTCCAAGCCCCCAAGCCGCATGCACACCAAACGACCAACCGTACAAATCCCCGAACTCCACGCCAAGATCCTCTCACGCTTCTTCTGGCCAGAAATCCAAGACCAAGAATTCAAAGTACCCGACGAAATTGCCTACCTCCAACATCGCTACTCAACCGGCTTTGAAAGCCTCAAACAATCCCGCAAACTCACTTGGCGCAATGGTCTCGGCCAAGTAACCGTCGAACTAGAACTAGGCGATCGAACCTTCGTAGACGAGGTCTCAACCTGGCAAGCAACAGTCATTTACGCCTTCCAATCCGACGACGAGGAAACCACGAAAATGATCACAGACCTCGCCTCCGAATTAGACATGGCTCCTGCCCTAGTCCGCTCCGCTTGTCTATTCTGGGTTAGCAAGCGCATTCTTACGGAAGTATCCCGCGACACCTTCCGCGTCCTCGAATACCTTCCCGCCGAAGCAGAATCTCAAGAAGACTCAGCAGACGTGCCCGGTCAATCTACAGACACAGCCAACGCTGCCGCTGCGGCCGAAGCAGCGGCCGCTGCAGCTGCAAAAGAAACAGCCGACGCTGCGGCAATGGAGAAAATGAATCTGTACTGGCAGTTCATCCTGGGCATGCTTACGAATCAGGGAGCTATGCCTTTGCAGAGGATTGTTATGATGTTGAAGATTGTGGTGCCGGGTGGGTTTCCGTTTAGTAATGAGGAGCTGAGGGAGTTCCTTGCTGGTATGGTTTCGAAGGGGAAGGTTGAGATTGCTAGTGGGGGGAATTATAAGCTTGTACATTAAGTTCAATGTTTATGGGGTGCATGGTTTGGCGTTAGGTTGTGGCTTGTGGCTTGTATACCCGAATGAATTACGAGTTTTGTTTATCGTGTTTGTTTAGGTGGGGCGTAGTCTTCAAGTGAGGCTTTTCAAATACTCGAAGGCCTGAAATTGGCATTGCAGATAGGAGAGTTGACTCCAGGGGTAGGACTGCTAAGTCGTTTGACTTATGTAGGTCTAGGAAGACGTCTTGAAAGAATTCTTTGTTCTAGTGGTAGCTGTTCCGTTCAATGTGAAGCTCAATAGGCTTGTTCGGGGCCGGAGCCATAGACGTGAATCATTGGAAATGCCTTTCACAAGTACGATACGAAGGACGCCTTTTCATTCATGGCACCTGGGAACTTTGAATTCAGACTGATTCTGGCAAGATATTCCTAAGGAAATCTAAGGAACCTCCGGAAATCAGAGGCAAATTCGAAAGTTTCCCTAAGTTTCCATTATCATTACAGTCGATCTGATTTTGCGAGAGGAAAGTTCGAGGAGTTTTGTGCTTTCTTCTGCATTTAATAAAAAACTATACAAAGTTGACATCGAATAAACTGATATTGAACCGCGGGTCAACAGACCCATTTTACGAGTCTTCATCGAGTTTCTCTTCAATTTCTGGCCCGCTGCCCGTATCTCCGTTCTCCGAGGGCCTATTTTCCCCATTTGGTTCTGGATTGCTTTTGGTGTTCTTTCCGAAGATCTTGGTTAGTCAATTCATTTTGTTGACCATGATTTCATCTTCTTAACAGTAATCACCTACCAGAACACCTGTAGACCTGGGCAAACGAAGCCCAGGAAAACAAAGCCTACCAGGGCACTAACATCTTCTCTTGCTCCCTATAGTATGCGTCTGGTCTCTCTTTTTTTCATTTCTTTTCCAAGTACTTCTGACCTCAATTGATTACACTGCCGTAAGAAATAGGTAATTCTTGAGCGTCCCGACCCTTCACGAGCAATTCACTCCGTCGAGCTCTACACATCTACACATACGTCTCAGTGGCCATAAGTAAAACATGCAATCTAAGAATTTCTCATATTAAAGAATAGGTATCATGAAAGCACAACATCACAACCTCAACCATTTACTCCGCATCAAGCGGTGCCACAGGCGGCTGATCATCAACCTGAATACCCCCCCCTCTTCTTCTCATTACTATCCCAAAAAGGCAACTTCCAACCGCCCTCATGCTCGGGCGTCGCCAACCAAAGCCGCATAAGATGCCGTCTGGGCATAGGCGGCGCATGGTCCACATACGAAGTCCTAGCATGCAAGATATGCGAATTCGCCAAGAACTGAATATCGCCCACCTCAAGAATCATATGCAGACTGAGTCTGTTGCAAACCTCCTCGAGAACTTCCAATGCTTCATTCTGGGCATCGGACAAGGGCGGAATAATTCCGGCGTCGGAGAAGCGGCCTAGAGACCGCACGTAGTATGGATCCCATTTTGTGTAGACACGGCCATTCTCGCCGCGCTCGAGGTAGACGACGCTTGTGCGGATGAACTCTTCTTCGCCTGTGCTGGTTTCGCCCTTGCGGTCAAAGTACCAGATTGGTTCGGTTAGGGTCTTCAGTACGTCCGGGCGTTCCAGGGCGAGAGTGTTGTAGACGTTGTGGGAGGAGACCAGGTCTGATTCGCCGCCTTCGAGAGCGCGGTGGATGCAGAGGAGACCGACGATGTCGGAGTCGTCAGCGTGGAAGAATTGGCTGGGATTTGTTAGTCGAATTAATTTTGATTCTGGACCCGGAACGAGACATACCGAGCGTTCGTGCGGTAGATGCGGACTTTGTCAATCTGGGCTGAGTCTTCCCCGAGATCCTTGACGTGACCGAGAACGTGGCCGCGGCTGTTCTGGCTAACGAAGTAGCCGAGGTAGGTACCGAGACCCATGTAGGCCACGGCGGACTTGTGGTTACCCCATTTCTCGACGGGGAAGCCCTTGAACAGAATGAAGCCTTTTCCGTCAATGAGGTCAAGGCGCAGGGTTTCAAGGTAGTCTGCGAACTTGGGAAGGCGGAAGTTGCTCTATGATTTGTTAGTCGGGTGCGCGGCGCTATTCCGTTGACTACGAAACGCACCTTGGAAATTCCGGTCATAGGGGTCTTGGATGCGAGGAAAGCATCCGAAGCTGCGCTCAGCTCCTCGATCTGCTCGGGAGTGAACCGATGCGTCCACTTCTCGGGGTGCTCGCGATAATCCTCGGCCTTCCATACTGTTGGGCCAGTGATCTGACGGGGGAACTTGTCGAAGGGGCAAATCTCGTCATAGATGGGAGGGTGTTGACCGGTGGTTTTCAGGCCATCAGGGAAGATGTCCAGCGGGGCTGACAAGTTATGAGGTGCCGTTGGCAAAGAGTCTGTGAGAGCGGGCGCCATGTTGTACAGGTAGTTTTGTGAGAAGAGCACAAGATGAAGGACACCAGTATGAAGCTAGACAGGGTCTCTACGACTATTTATCTTCCAAGGCTATGTGTCCCGGCCGAGATGATCTACGAATAGAGTGTGGTTATACTTGTCATCATAGTGAGGAATCCAGTGGACAAGATGGCGTGCGAATGCCGCGGTCGCCGCTCCGATAGGATGGCGAAATCATCGAAGTTTCATGGAATAGACAAGATCAATTGTTCAGGGATAATAGGTCTGTGCGTTGTGCGTTGGGTTGGGGCTTTGGTCGTGATGGCGCAATTTGCGGGGTCCGATGTTGTGATGACCGCGGCCCATCGCGAATTGGCTCGGCGCTGGCGAGGTCCCGATAATCACTATGAAGGGACTCCTGTCATGTCTGAATTCTTGAAGAGGATGTTTGGGGGTTGAAAACATGACATTGAGAGTATGTGACAGACAATGGCGCGTATTCTGGAGGAAGATGGGTGAGGTTGAATTAGAGATCGCGCGTGGGAACTTCAATTGAATGTGGAATGTGCTTCACGACAGGGATCTCCTTCAGGGTTACTCGGCCGATAGCTAGACTCCACGGCAATCATCAACATCGATATCTTGCTTTGTGGTAGATCGGTCTCGCGCAAGTCGCCTTGATTATACCGCCCCAAGGGTCCAACTAGTATCGGGTTCCAGAGAGGTCAGACCTGGCCCCAACCCGGGGGAATGTCCATCCAGTCGATTCAATAACACTCAAGAGACTGACACTCAAAGGCTTTCCTCTCAATGACAGCCGTTCCGAACCTAGATGGCACCGCGACTGCAAGTCCGACACACCAAATGCCCTAGGCCCAATTGCCAATCGACGAGGCTGTGTATGCACAATCATGCTCGATAGAGAGCGGCTAGTATGGCTAGCATGGCCATAAAATTGATCATCAAAATGAAGTCCCAGCAATCGCAACAAGCGCGCCCTTTCGACTACATCTAGTTGGGGTCTTAGGAACGGCGCTTGGCAATGACTCAACTGGTTCGGACAAGGATTCGATTTCCATTTTGGGCCGCGCTCTCCACCGGATTACTCACAGAAACCCTTCATCGGGCATGCGGATCCGAACCCCATATCAGCATCAATGGATTTTCTGACAGGCCTTCAAATCCTTCTTTCGATCCCATTTGGCTACTTTGGACCGCCTGGATTTGTTGCTCTATCAGCAACTTAACCCCAGATTCCCCACATTTCAGCATATGGCCAACCGCCTCCATGTCGCCGTGCTAGACGCGGATATCCCCTGCTTATCTATATACGCCCAGCGAGGCCTGTACAGTTCGCAGTTCCGCGTTCTTCTCCAGAATGCCGCGGATCGTTTAAGCAAAAGTGGCAATGTCCAACTGCAGAACGGCCCGCTGGCCGTGCATGTCACGGCTTTTGATCCCGTGGGAGGTACACTACCACCTCTTGAATGCCTGCGCGCTATGCCACGTTCCCCGAGATCCAACGAGGGGCCCTTGGGTGCGATCGACGCAATCCTGATCACCGGATCGGCACACTCAGCATACGATCCATATCCGTGGATCATACAGCTTCAATCTTTCATTCAGACGGTGCATGCCAACTACCCTCTGGTAAAGATTTTCGGCTCCTGTTTCGGCCACCAGCTCATCGCGCAGGCCCTACTGTCGGGATCTGCAGCATCGACATTCCGCGTTGAGCATTCAACTGAAGGCTTTGAAATGGGCATCCAACCTATCATTCTGGACCCGTCATTCACGGCATACTTTCCCCCTCTGGTGTCACCAAACCCCTTCCGCATCCAGTTGATCCACGGCGACCAGGTGGTTCCAACTGCCGAAGCTAAAGCTGCAGCTGCAGCTGCAGCTGCATCTGCATCTGCGGGTGATGTTTCCCTACCAGTACCATGGATGAACATAGGCAGCAGCGCCGTATGCCCCATCCAGGGTCTTTACAATCCCGGCCGGGTGCTATCCTACCAAGGCCACTTTGAATTCGACGCATGGACCAATCGTGAACTATGTCAGGAATTTGGCCGGCGCGCAAACTGGCCCCAGGCGACCGTAGCCTCATACGTGGAATCCATCGAGCGTTCGCTCGTCCCGGGACAAGAAGACAACGACGATTCGAAAGCCGCAGCGGAAGCAGTACTATTGTTTTTCGCTGGCGAAGATCAGCCCAAATCATTCCCAATTGCCAATGGAATGCTCACACCTCCGCTTGATTCCCCAGCAGGTTGAGTGGGTCGGATGTATAGCTGAAAGAAGCATGTAAGACCGCGAGGCGATGCTTGTTTTAAGCGCATCCTTCCGACACAGCCTCGCCAGTTGAGTCCAGATGCAGACCACGCGCAAGGGTTCTCGACTGCCTCCCTGAAACATCATTCTTTTCAAAACTCGGGACCCCTCGGTGGTGGCGATTAATTGAGTTGCCTGGCAATGAATTACGGCTTTTTTGCGTGGTGTGTGGCGACGCATCTGGCATGCCGGACCCAGGGAGAAATTCAAAGATTGTACATAACGCTTATTAAATACCTAGACAATAGAAAGCTTACAACTATACCAATACTTATACCTCTACCCCCAAAGATCAAGATCAAGATCAAGATCAATACAGGGCAAGGTCCAGCCCGAGAACAAAAGAAAACAGCTAGAAACCCCGAATACCACGCTAAGCTCCATCTCCACCCCCCGCCCGTTTTGGGCCTCCACCCACGATAACGAGAAAACCACCTTTTCCCTTGGGACTTCTAGAACCCCAACTACCACGTACCTGGGTAAGGGGAGGCCAACTCGCCTACAAGATACGGGGTACAGAATACAGGGGGTTTGTCGAGTACCAGAATACAGGCATACGGAAGTCCGGAACAGAATTTTCCTTTTTTTTTTTTCACCCTCAAGCCGATCCCCCTCCCTGCACGGGCATCCACATCCGGGATGGCGCCCTTACCGCAATGGCCGCAGACCAATGGAGAGACAGGTAATCGGAACTTTGGGGTCCACTGTGCTAAGGTAAAATCCAATCAGGCTGCTTTGGGATGCTCTTCATCGGCATGTGCGTGGAGTCGGTTATATGGTGTACCGCGTGGTATTACGGGTTACGACCGGTTTAAAGTTAGAGCTGGAGCTCGCTTGGATTCGAGATTCGAGATTCGAGATTCGAGGTTCGAGGTTCAAGTTTCGAGGGTTCAAGGTTCTCAAGCCAATGTACCGAGTCCCTATCAATACTGCGGTCTTGCATGCCATCTTCTGTCTAGGTACCTAGGTAGGTATAGATGGGAGAGGAGTGGCTAGTCCTCGAGCTGCGCTGAGGCACGGGCGCCTCGGTATTTGCCGGCACGACACCCGAGCGGACGTTGGAACTTGGAACTTGGAAATTGGGATTTCGAAATCGAAACCGACACCCCTATCTTTGGTCAGTTTCTCATGTACAAGGTCATTTGATTACGGACCTGGACCTAGTGTAGTGTAGTGTAGAGTAAAGTAGAGTGTAGAGTGTAGATTTAGAAATATCTATTAGGTAGGGACTAGAGATTGTGGGATTCTTATCGTGTAAATACGGCGTAAAGTAACGTGGCGCTAACGAATTCGCCACCCGGAGCTCCCCTCCTTCGCCCAAGAGCTTCTGGAATTTCGAGCTTTGAGAGCTGGGGAGAGCTTCGGAGGGGCCGCTGATAGCGCTATCGCACCACAATCTATCACATTATCGCTTCCTATCGAGCAGTGTTCTTGTCTTTTCGTTCAAGTGCATGCTTCCCTATCTAGATTTGTCTTAGCTAGAAAGAAAAACTATTCATCCAGCTGATCAAAGTCCCGTTCCACCGGGCTTCCGAGAAGTCTCAAGCGTAAAAAAAAATAAAAAAAATAAAAAAAAAAGACCATACGCAGCCCCGAGCTCAGGGTGGATAAGAAGGTCAGCTCCATGCATGTCGTGACTTGACGCATGAACCAGCTCAGCTTACCCTAGATCTATGCAGAGAAATCTAAGAAAAGAAAAGAAAAATCTAGGGAAGGTAAAAAAAAAAAAAAAACCAGCCCAAAAATCCTAGCATAGCGCGGGGAGGCGTCCTGTAATTACGGTAATACCCCCGTCTACCTCTCCCACCACGCAGCCAGCGGCGGCGGATCGAGTCCCTCGAAGTACTCGATGACTGTATGAGCCGCTCCTCTTCCTTTTTTTCCCTTCTTACATCCCCTCCCATGCCAATCCCGGGCTCACTTCAGCCCTTTTCTTAACCGTGGTCTTTCCATATCCTTATCGTATTCTCCTTTCATCCCTATCTCGCCTCTAGGGACCTATGCACCATGCCTCCTCGAAGCTCGTTGACGAGCTCGTTCTCCGTCACCGACGCCAACAATGAAGTGGTCTGTCCTTTGAAGAATAACGACGCTTCCAATTGTCGCAAGCGATGTCTAGGAGTGAGTCGCCTCTTTCTCTGCCCCCCTCAGAGCCACCCCACTACCCCGGCCGGGATCGCAAGCTCGACGGCAAATTACCTCAAAAAAAAAGCCTCCCTCATATCCGTAAAGCTATGCTCTAATCCAGGCCTACAGGAAAAGCGCTATCGCTCTATGCAGGAGCATATCCGACGTGCACATCCGAATCACTACATCCCGAAGCTCCCGGCTACCGAAGAGAGCTTCCTACTGATGGTTAACACCCCGCCCGAACAACGTGCCCAGTTGTCTCCGCCAGAACTGCCGCAGCCACGGCGCCCTCGCGGTCAGTTGACTTCTCAATCTCCCTTCTGAAGCTCTCCTCGGTCATTACTGACGGCCCACAGATGTGGCGGGTAGAGACATCTACGTAGCTGACGCCAGCTCTCCGGCGACCCCGCGAGCTCTCGACGAACCTGGCCCCGCCGCAGCAACGGCAGCCGTCGCTCTGGCACAATTGCACCACCATCGTCTCGCTTCAGACTGGGATACTGACATGGTATGTGGCGCCGCTGCCATCCGGTGGACTGTACTTACCCCAGCTTCCCCAGGACACCCACTCCGACACCGATCTCCACCAGGGCCGTATGCGCTCTTCTATCGAACTGCCTTCGCTGCGCGATCACTTTAAACAAGAATCCATGCCACCGTTCTCTTCGCCTCGCCCGCGGGAGCTCCTTCCGTCCATTCTCAATCATTCGCCTCCCGGTCGCTCATCAACTCTTCCCCCGATCCAACGAAGAGATCACAAGCTTTCTAGGCCGCGCAAATCGTCAATCACGCAATCGGCCCGCAAACCAAAACACGATCGCCCAAAATCCAAGGAGTTTGGTCGGCGCCCGAGTCTCGGCGACCGTAAAGCTCTTTCTGCTGAACCACAGACTGCAGCATGGGCGCAAGGCAAGCGCTGGGAGGATCTGATCGAAGCAGCGACCTCGGCAACCGAAGCGGACGATGAACAGTACTCCGAAGTAAGTTTCTCCATCATAGTTAAAGTATGTATACACCGGAATATCGAACTAACATCAATCCAGGCCGGCCGATCTCCAACGATCGCCCCGCTCCTCGCTAACGTCACTTCTGCACCTGGATCGAAAAACCGATCCTCCCTGCCCCCGGCATTCCAATCTGTCCAAAGCCTCCCACCTCTGAACCGCCAGTTCCCACCCCACTCATATACTGCCTCACCACTGCACAAGTCCCTCACGCCACCACCATTTGAAGGACCCCGCAGCCGCGACAGTGACATGGAACCATTCCCCTCAATCGAATCTTCACTCGACTCGATGTCCAACGCCTCAGGAAAGAACTTCCCGCCTTCATCGTCGGGAATTGCACACTCAATCAACTCCGACTCAAGTCCCGTGCTCAATCTCATCCCACCCGTCTCGCAGCGCCAGCACCACCGATTTTCGAACCCGACGCCTGCTTCATACCGCAATAAAGAGGTCCAAATCTACTGCGCTAATTGCAAGCGTCCCTGGGCGCTAAACGAGTGTTACGCTTGTACGGAGTGTATTTGCGGCGTCTGTCGTGAATGTGTCGGTATGTTCATCACAAGTCCGCCGGCTCAATTCAGGAGTCCGGGCAATGGAGCATTGAACCATATTCCTGGTCCGACGAGTTACCCCGCTGCCGCTGCGAGGGGGTGTCCGAGGTGCAGGACGGTGGGCGGGAAGTGGAAAGCTTTCCAATTGGATTTTAAGTGATTGTGAGCGCGTGCTCATGGTCTTACGGATGTTATGACTTATGCTTGATATACACGGTCGTTCCTTTGTTGTTTTCTCTTCTTTTTTTTTTGGCTTTCCGACTTATGTTAACGACCACGGCCAGCCTCGTCAGGACGACGTCGCATTCATTCTATAATCTCGGTGCTGGGCCCCGATCAAAACGACAAAGCTGGTCTTTCTCTTTCTTTTTAAACACATCTTTTGGCTTTATGTTTACGGTCCATGTTCTTTCTATTCATGTTGAAGGCTGGGCATTGGGTGGGTTCATTTTATTTTCTCAATTCATGTGTTTATGTGTATGTTTTGGACATGAGTTATGCACTTCCACGTTTGTGAATTTTCATCTCCTTGTACTGCAAATTTCATGTTTCATGTTCATGGTTTATTCTCTGCGGATTCTCATAGAAAGAGTGCGAGGTATATGGCTCCGTCATCCTCCAGGCTCGAAATTTATATTTCAGATATAGTCCACCTCCATCTTGCACAACTCAATCCTTTCTTTAGAAAAAGGCCTAAGGAATGTATACGTGCAGCTCAGCCGATTGTCAATACCCCTCTACTCGGATTTAGAAGATTCTGCAGTCGTGTTCTGTGTCGCTGCCCTGGCCAGTGAGGAGACAATTGAACTTCTTACGGAGTTCCTCGCGGAATGTACAACCTCGCGAGTTGTCGGCGCTACATGGATGGTGCAGGACTGTATGGACCCTAGCTACGGGCTAATCTTCGGGTTGTTTCGTACATGAGAAAGAAGTTGACCCCGCGGTTCACGACAATTGAAATCGGTCTTTCAACTCTTAGTCAATAGAATGTCTTAACATAATCCAGAAATCAGCAGCAACGGCTTGTCCCTCGAGCTCAGATATGATGTTCAAATATCATTCAGCAAATATTAATCTGTCCAAATCGCTAAGAAAATAGATCAAAAATACCCCAACGTCACACGTCCGTTACCATCGAGTGCTCACTCCTCCCAGACAACACTGCTCAGCCCCTCCGCCGAGCCAACCGTTCCAGTCTCCCCGACCTGCAACATAGCAACCTTCTCGCCGAGATCCCCGGTCAGTCGATTCCTGCGCACAATGACCACATTTGCTGACGCCTGGTTCCCGATGGCAACCAGATCTCCGGCTTTGTTAATAGCAAACGTCCGCGGCACCTTTCCATACGCATCTGTTTTATTGCGCAGACTCACAGTCCCATTCTTCGGCGACCGGTCCAGCGTGACCATCGAATCACTGGGTTTGAACCCCTGATCACTGCGAATAGAAACGTAGAATGTATCGCCCACCATGCGGATCTCAGCCGGCGTCGCGCCCTGCGGCATCTTACCCCCAGTATACGGCACGATCGTCTGAGTCTTCTGGAGATCAAGACATCCAGACCGGTCGTACGCAACATCAAAGGTCATCATCGTGCCCCCGATCTCATTAACAAGATACATCATCGTCTTACCAACAGACGCGGCCTGGCGTTGGTGGGTGATTGCTCCAGACTGTGTAGACTGAGTGGTATTGCCTGTACCATCTGTCCAGAAGACGCCGTGGCGGGGTCCGCTGCCGAATGTCACGTTTACGGCGGGACATTCGTTCAACTGACCGTCGGAGGCAGAGATGGAGTAAATGCGTAGTAGGTCGGCGCCTAGATCTGGGGAGACGAGGAAGGAGCCTGTTGGGTCGAGGAAGACTTCGTGCGGGTGTGGGGAGTCTTGTTGGGCTACGGCGCCGGGGTGATCCATGTGGAAGTGGAAGGCTTGTTTCGCTGGGGCATTGGCCTTGAGGGGAAGGTCAAAGGTTGAGACGGCGGAGCCCTCGCTTGAGGACGTTAGCTTATGTTGTACAATCAAACCATGAGGTTGTAAGGAATTGGATATCCGAATCAGAGGGAACTTACTAGTGCGCAATAGCGAGATATTTCCCTCCATCGTCATTCTCATAGATGACGGAGTTGACACCACCGCCAATGGTTTTGGTAGTTGCGATTTCGTGCAGCTTGCCGTCCGGCGCGGCGTCATATGCTGTCAAGGTGCCGTGGGTTGAGGGATCGGCGGTGCCGTCTTCATCGGAACAGTACAGCACGCGGGCCTTCGAGTCGAAAGTCAACCAGCTAGGCATTTTACCGCACGTCTTCATCGTATCGGTAAGTGAAAGGTTCTCGCCATCCAAAGCCAATGTGTAAACATTGCCATTGTAGTGCGTAGCCCAGAGACGAGCCTGGTGGGCAGGCTTGGGCGCTGCAGAGGCCAGGCCGACTGTCGCGAGGAGAGTCGCGTGTGAGAGACGCATTTTAGATATGATGCGTCTTGTACTTTCAACCTTGGAAGAGTCCTGGGTATGAAGAAGACTCCGCGGTCAGATGGGTGGGCGCGTGTATGTGTATATATGGGCGCTAGTGCGACCAAGACGCGAGACACGCGGGACGATCAACAACGGAGCCCGGAGACATGGTGAAATTCTCCCCTGCAGTGGCTTTACATGACGAGTGCCCAGTCTGCATTTGCGTGGGACAACTGGAATGGATCGACGCGGTCGCTGCAGGTGGAGATGGAGCCGAGGGGGTTGGGGAGTCAAGGGGCAAACATCGTTGATGCAGGGTTGTATTGGGCTGGCTATACTACTACCTGACCACCTAAGTCAATAACAAGGACGGGGTCAATGTGGTTCTGCACGGGGTTCTTAACTCCATTCAGAGGCTATTTCCTCGGCTTCATTGATTGCTATGCTTCAAGCTGTTGCAGATTGAGGGGTAAGTAGTATGATCGTCCTGCCGGTGTCGGGCTTATTCCGGATAAACTGTGGATAGACGGGTTCTGTATTTCCTCACGAGGGAGATCCCCCACTCTGGTCTCGACGTTTGTGTGTCATGGCTTCTGGTATTCTGGGCCACGTATGGTTCTGCGGTTAGAGCTCCTGGCAGATCCAATTGGTTGGTGTCCATCTAGGTCTATGCTGGTTGCCTTTTGGCATTCTATAACTGGAGGTAAATTCTCTCTGACGCACAAGGCGCACACTTATAAGACCGCGTCCCAGGTCCAGGATCCAGGTGAATGGACTAACGCGAGCCCGATAGGGGAAGCTTCGGCAGCTGGGCGTGGGGGTCACTTTTCTGTCCTTCCCCACACCCACGACCCAACACTTATCCATATTCCAACGTGCAATTCCAGTCTCTTTAGGCACATTCTTACCAATCACTATGTTGAGATTTAATAAGCATTGTGAAGCTACAATTGTTATAAAGCGAAGATTCATATTTCATGCGTACGGAGATCACGTTCAGGATCGCGTCTTCGGTTGCGTACATGTGTATCTCTGGAAGACGCGATCCTATTCTATTCTATGTACTTTCAAACCAGAGACAACCCCGTGTAGCACCCATCATCGCGCACTAACTCAACCTTGGTTCCATCATTCAGGGAAACGGAATACAAACTACCCCCCAAGTCCGTCACATAAATGGTGTTGTTCACTTTGTCCAATTTTAATCCAATCGGCTCGTGGAAATGCCTCGCCAGTATAACCTTTTGGAGATCAACGCTCTCCTCTCCAACACATGCTTTGTAAAGCGCACATCCCGTCGGATGCTCACCACGATCTGTCCAGTACAAGGTCTGGGTCGAAGAATCGATCTCAATGTCGATAGGCTCAGGCAGGTCATCAAATAACAATTTGATATCAGAGCGATTCTCGGCCGTTTCACCATATGGGATTTCTAACCCAGCAACAAAGATCCGGCCACGGCCACCTTTGCTGGGGCCCTTCTGTGTCCAGTACATCAAGCCACGGTCGTCGTCAACAGCAATTCCGACACACCATAGCGTCATCTGGTCCAGAAGAGACATCCCAGGCTCCACGCATCGCTGTACAAGGCAGATGTGGTCACTGCCGTCGTAGTTACAGCGATGCACGCCCATACCTTCCCGATCGCAGAAATAAAGCTGCTGTCGTGAATCGATGGCGGAAATTTGCTTCGGTGTGTGCACGTCGCCAGAGGGAATTAGACATCTGACCCCGCTGCCATCCATTTCCGCAGTCCAAACCGAACCATCGTGTGCGGCGGTGCTGTGGCCCATGTTCGTCCAGAAGATGCGTCGCTTGGAGAGTGATATATCGATGCCGTCTGGGAGATTCTGGTCCACGATGACGGGAGTCAACTTCTGCGTCGCTAGATCCAGACGCAAAATTTTGCCGTTCGAATGAACCTGCGTGATGTCTTTAGAGTTGCAGCCGAGTCCCACGTCCAGCATATATATGTCTTTTGCCGAGGAGTGTGGACGCGCAGGCGTGGTTTCTGCACTTTGAGACTTTTCAAGAGGCGGGTACAGGCCGCCCTTGTCACTTTTCTTGCCGAATCGGCCTTGGTCGACGTACTCTTTGCGCAGCCAGTCGACCGTCTTTTCAGTTGGCAATCCACGCTCTTGGACATAGTTGTCTTCGATATATGCCACGGTATCCAGTCCAACCTGGTCCATAAGCTGACATGGCAATGGCCCATTCTTGAACATATGTTCCCACAACATATCAATTTCGCTCGGGTCACTGACACCCTCGCAGAGGATTTGCATGATCTCACGCTTGATAGCAGCCCAGAGCCGATTGAAGATGAACCTATAAAAGTCAGACTAAAGCGGATAGAAAAAAGAGAAAAAAAAAAATTGGAGATCTCACCCAGTGCTTTCTCTTCTCGCGATCACCGGTATCAACCCACACTCCCCTAATATATCCTTCAAGTACAGCAAAATTTCGCTGTTCGTCTCCCCACAAGTCATTAACTCCACGGTTCTGATAGTCGGTGGCATACAGAAATGCACACTAAGCGTCCTCTTCCTCCTCTGCACCGAAACCTTCCCAACTAACAGACTCGACTTAAAACTCGAGCTATTGGACCCAATAATACAATCCTCCGGCGCCTTAGCATCAAGCTCCGCTAGGACCTCCATCTTCAAGTCCAACTTCTCTGGCACAGCCTCAATAATCAACCAAGCGTTACTCACAGCCGGGCCAATCTCCGAAAAAGAGCTGTATCTTCCAAAAGGCACATTCGCGAACGCTTCCTGTTCGACCTTGGTGATCTCGGTAGTTGTCTTGGAGGTCCCGGCGGCGCCGGTGGGATCTTGACGCTCTTTACTGATCCGTGGCATCAGGCGGAATTGCTCTTTGTGTGAGTCGATGAACTCGGCGCATTCTTGAAGGGCTTCCTGCGATGGGTCCCGGATGTGCACGTTGTAGCCTGCTGCGACGAAGGCGGTACCGATTCGGCGGCCAAGGACACCGCCACCGATGATGGCGATGGGACGGTCGGTGCGGGGTGTCAAAGTCATTTTGATGGCTTGGAATGAGGTTTGAAAGTGAAAGAAGCCTGTCTGAGGAAGGGCCTTGGAGTTGAGATGCGTGGATATGTTGATTTGACGTAGAGGAAGGCGTAGGAGGCAAAGAGGCGGGCAGTGGAGAGGATATTTATACAAGCTTCTTGAATACAGGAACTTGATGCGGTTTAACTCAACAGATCAAGGGTCTACGTCGTAATTCATCGTTTTTGGTCATTAGGTAGGGTATGAAGACCCGCCTCGGGACCCGGCTTGGGACCCGGCATTGCCTTGTGCATTTTATTTCAGAAATTGATATGCTACTATGGTACGAATAGCTCGATTGGGTATCAAACTCCATAGCGGCTGAATCTGGATCCTGCGGAAGCGAGTCGGGCTATAGATCCACTGCTGTGGTGGACGATTACTCGGGGATCTGCGAGAACGGATCTCGGATTGATCTCGGAGTCGGTACGGAGTCGGTACGGAGACAGCTCGGATGAGCTATTGGTACTCTCGTCTCGGTCGGCTGGGGCATTGGATTTATCCGGCTATATAGCTATTTCCATTTGTAACAGCAAGCAGGCTGTGGGCAGTGTCAAAATTCAATATCCTTGTGAGGATCCACTTGAAGGGACTTGTCGTTGTGAGAGTGACGGTATTTTCGAGTCCAGTGAGACGATGGAGCAAAAGTCTCGATATATTATCTGCACCGGAGAAGACATAGCCACATTATTTCCTAGGTGATTAAATTCAAAGGAATGATTTGGGGTTTCAAAATGAATACCGACCAATGTCTATTGAAAAGTTGATGAGTGCCCGTTCTGAATAGCTTCACTTCTTCCCAGCCCTCCCTGCTTTTGCACAGCCCCCACAGCTTGATTTATGCTCGATCATATCCAGGAAGAACAAAAACTTTGTAAATTCCACCTTCTTCCATAACTGTTTTCTTTCGTAGCATCCAAAATCTGAATGTCATACGGTATTGGGCGAGTTCATGTCGCGCACTTCAGCATATCTGACGCAGTATTTTTTGGGATTTTAATTCATCTCTATGACTTAGATACATGAGTTTCTCATTGTGTACTTTCAGAATAGCCAGGAAGAATGTCCTCGTTGGTGCTTGGCTTAAAACAAAAACACCTGATCCGTTGCCTTCGACAATACCCCGGGCTCTTTCCACTTCAACTCTACGAGAGCCTTCTTCATAGCATTGACCATAGGAGGCGGCCCACATAGAAGAGCTCTGTTACTCTCATCTGCTGCAGGTAAATAACGCTTGATCAAATCCTGCGTCACAAAGCCCCTATGCCCAGCCCAGTTCTTTCCGGGGTTAGAAAGTACGTACTGCACCCGGAATTTATCCGGGAAGCGCGCCGCAAAATTGTCAAGCTCAGCCCGCAGCAAGATATCTTCCTCGGTATTATTAGCATAAAGCAAGTCGATTCGCGTCAAATCAGCTTCATCGTCACAGATAGCCCGGATCAATTGGTACATTGGCGTGATACCCGTGCCACCCGCAATCATTCCTATATGTTTTGCGTAAGACCTGTATTGCATTGCACCTTTGGGTCCTCGAATATCGATCGTATCGCCAACCTTCATCTGCTCGAGATGTTTGGTCATCTGGCCTTGCGGATACACCTTGACCAGCAGTTCGATCCGGCCGAGGTCCGTGTTATTTGAGATGGGTGTGTAAGATCGAGAGACGCTTTTGCCGTTGACGTCTGCACGCAGTGCAATATGCTGTCCCGTAGGTAGACCTAAGACGTCGTCGGCATTCGGGAGGTTGAAGACGAGACGGTAGACGTTCAGCGAGGTGAGCTCCTTGCTAGCCAGGGGAAAGCTCTTCCACTGACGTGGATCAAGCGGTGAGACCTTCTTGATGGTCTTGCTGGGTGTGGATGGCAAGAGCTTTCTGTGGAAGATAATCTTGTCCGGACGCGTGGTTCGGTGGGCCGAGTAATGGGTGAACTCCTGTTGCACGTCAAGACGGGTCGAGATCCACATCGCCAGACCGATCGTCAAAGACAGCTGTGCAGCACTGGCAATGCCAACGCCAGTCCAAAACTGGCCGGAGGAGCTTGGCTTGTTGCGCAAGAGGGCTGAGGCTTGTGTCGACAGTTTTTTCAGGGACGGGAGAATTGAACCGCCTCCATCTCTGTAACTGGCGAACAATCCCACTCCCAGAGCACCGGTAAGCCCAAGTTTTATCAAGGCGACAGTCCAGGTACGAAGACGGCTCGATTGTCCGTTCAGGGTGTCAATGACAGCGGTCTGGGCGACTGCCTCGAATGTAGGACGGTAGACTTCGACTGTCTCAGCATACTCCTGCAATTCGAAGGTCAGATATGTCCTCAAAATGAGAAAGCAAAAGCATACCTCACTGGGGAGATCACCAATGTGGAATTTGACAAGTTCCTCTCGGGCCTCGTCAGAGTGGCCGGTCTCCTCAAACGCCTCGGTGGCATCTGTCCCGGCCACTTCGATCAGGATGGCACTGCCACCAGGATGGTCCTCAAGGTACTTTGTGACATCGTAAACTTTGTTGTGTAGTACAATCCAGATGTCATCTGGCTTATTATGCTTTTGCACTTCTTCGAGAGTGTACATTGCGAGTTGAATTTGGGAGTGAATTTCTGACCCAGTGCGACGTGCTGCCCCCGGTCTAAATAGGATTTTATGTCGCGCATATTAGTATGTTGGATAAATCGGAATCAGTCGGCACTACACACTTCAAGTATATCAACTCGCAAATGAACATGTTCGGAATGCTTGGCCGGATCCACTCCGTTCTCGTACGAAGTTCGTACGAGGTTCGGATTCACTCGGAGATCCGAACCAGGAAATCTCAATATGCTATACGTCGACTATTCACGGATAACCGGATACTCTAGTCTGTTGAATCATAAATTCAGGCCAAGTCGAGTTATATATAAGGACGAAATGCGCACGGCAAAGGCTTATGTTTCCCACGTCAACATCAATCAACATTGAAGTATCTCAACGCGATACCACGATGCCGATTCCTCCTGTGTCGCCACGGAATATCAATATTTCGTTCTACCTGATAGGAGACGATGTTTCCTCGGCTCAGTCGGTCGTGATTGATGCGAAGTGGAAACTTGAAGATGTTAAACGAGCCGTTGGTGGTGTTTTGCACGTCGCTCAGCCCCTCGGTATGTTTATAACCTTCGGTTTCAATTGATTCTTCTGACATGTTTACAGGCCTGACATTTTACAATGGCGAAAGCGATAAGGAGATTGATGGCGTCGAAGAGTTGCTTTTTACGCCCTCCGACCGTCCTGTTGCCCTTCGCGTTGATGGCCAAGCAGTTCGAAGCCCCCAGGGCCCAGACGGCCTCCCGCTTGTGGGCAGCTTCTACGAGATCTTCCCTGACCATCTGGGCAACCATTACCGACTCTTCCGTAAATATGGACATGTTATCAAGACAACAAACATGGGGAAGACAACCTATCTCACCGATAGCCCCGAGGTAGCGGGCGTGGCCCTTGCCGAGTCGACCTACATGACGAAGAAGATCAACGAAAATCACCCGCTTTGGGGAGTGAAAGACAACACGGCCATCTTCATCGGTGATACGGAGACCGAGAACTGGCGACTGGCACACAAGTTTCTGCCACCCGCTATGGGCCCTAAAGCTGTCCGACACTATACGCCGCTGATGGCGGAGTGCGCACGGATGTCCTTCGCAGTGTTCGATGACCTTGATGCTAAAGACCAGTCCTGGAATGTGTACCAGTATATGCTCAAGCTCGCATCCCAGACAATCGGCAAGTTCTCACTTGGCACGGACTTTGAGCATTTTACCTCCAGCGATGCCCCGCTGCATCCCATCGTCACCAATATCGCCAATCTCCTCTCTCTGAACAAGAAAATCACCGCCCGCGGAGAATGGTACCGACATCTTCCATTCGGTGACCCAGCTACATTGAAAAAGGTGCAGCGCACAATCTACACATTGCTCCAAGAACAAATCAACCGGGTCAAGGGCTCTGATATCGAAGGCATGCCCATGAACGAGGCAGCTGTCAACGCGTCCTGCGTTGTGGACTATCTCCTTAACGCAGTAGACGACAAGGGAGAGAAATTCCCTGAAGGATTGATCCTCGCCAATATGCTTATCGTTACCGGTGCCGGGTTCACAACCACATCAGCCCTGATGTCATGGTTGATCTACTGTCTCGTCAACTACGAAGGCACACAAGACAAACTATATGAAGAGCTATGCTCGCACGGCATTGCCAACTCTAAGGAGCCCATTAGTTGGACCCCCGAGCTAGCACACGGTCTTCCCTATCTAGACCGCTTCGTCAAAGAGACCCAAAGGCTCCACAACGCTTCGTTCCAACCCGGCCGCACAACCAAGACCGAAGTCGTCCTTCCCGGCGGATACCGCCTGCCGCCTGACAGTGTGATTGTTCCGGCACTGTACGGAATTCACACAAACCCCGAGGTCTGGCGTGATCCCTTCCGCTTCGATCCTGATCGCTGGGACGATGAAGAAGTCAAGAACAAGCACCGGTGCGCGTACATTCCTTTTGCAACTGGCCCGAGGGGTTGCATCGGGTTCAATTTTGCGTTGCTAGAGGTTAAAATCTTGCTATCGGAGCTTGTTTCGAGATACGAGTTCTTCCGTGAAGGATTAGAAACTATTGAGTATGATCCGGAGTTCCAGTTAATTCGGCCTTTGAATCTTTATGTGCGTGCTAAGAAGAGAGGCAACAGTGCTTGAAGGTTGAAAGCGTGTGAGGATTACATTTAGATTTTTTTGTGTTATAGAATGGATACTATAGAGGCTTATGTAGAACATGCATTCCTCGTGGATGTCAATAAAATTCCTCAAATTTGTGCATCTTCAAAATTGACAGTCTCCCGCAACGCTCTTGAAGCCCTGGAATAAGGCCCAAAAGACCTATGGTTCGTATCATTATCCTCCCACGAAGACTGTCTCTCTTCCTGCTCTAAAACGGCAATAAGCCTCGAGACAAGACTATGCGCCTGGTCTCTATTCTTCCCTAGTTTCTGCAGCGTAAAGGCACAGCTAACAGCATTGTGCACAAACGCCCACGAGCGACAGACCGTCGCCGCAAGTCGATGCATTTCCAGAAACGACCGGACAGCTTCTGCAGCGCATTCTATGCATTCGCTTATTAGTTCATTTATGTCGGCGAAGAATTCAGCTCCTCCACCTGCTTGTGGCTCAATAACGAGCCTGCAGAGACGGGTTATCCCATAGTTGATGTGAATGCGTAAAGCCAAGCGTTCGAGATGGTCTTGTAGTGTTCTGCAGCGAGATTTATGCATAAGGAACGGCTTTGTCGACCCCCAAATTGTTTCGATGCGTTGTTTAAAGGCTAGTGTTGCGGGGACTGTTGTGCTGTTTTCTTGGCGGGAACGATCGAGGAGAACTTGACAAAGGGAGAAGATGCTTTCTGCAAATGAATTCCCGGTCTCTGATTCTGCGGCTCTTGGAAAGGCCCCGCTGTGATTTATTATATTTGGCGGTCGGTCGTAGGTGAAAGAGAGGAAGGTGTCTTGCCACACGAGCATCCACCTGATGAATTGTTAATTTATGTTATTTTTGGGGTCGGCGGCGCACGAACCAGAGTCTTCTTCGTTGATAACTATCTGTTGATGAATCAGTGGGCTCGGAAGATGCCTCCTCTTCATGTAGGCCGATGCTTTGCGCAAGGCGCATTGTTGAACCTGTCCCAGGTCAATCTGATGTTTAATAGTCTTCAGACGTGGAGAAACGTACCCATCAGTATCCAAGCACTATTGGTGTCCAGATTATTTCGCAGACAGTGTCCGATCAGCGCCATGCCTTGAATCTGATTGAGGTTCGTATTGTTGAAGAAGTTCGATATACGAAGACACTGGAATGATGAACAGACTATGCCATTAGCTCCTGCAGACTTATCAGACATGGGACGTACTGAAGACTTTAGACCTCAGATCCCGCTCTTTGATGGGATCGTTGGAAAATTGCACACCACACGCAAGTACTGCGAATAAAAGTGCCAGCCACGAGGAATCAACGCCATCCAAGCTGGCGTTCTCCTCAGATGCGATGGCAGCGCGCCGGTCGAGGAACTCGAAGAGTGAGATGTTGAATTGGTCGAGTGTGACAAGACCGGGATAGTATGGATACGCAAAGGTTTGGTAGTCGTGCCAGTACCTGTAACAATCATTGCCGAAAATCAATATGAAGTCACATTGACAGTTCAATCGGATGATCTCGCCTACCGCATAATATCCACATCTTCTGGCAAAGTCCGACAAATTTCATTAGGACCTGCGTCCGCGCCCCATAGACTCGTGAAGGGGTATGTTCTTGGTACAACTTGATCCAAGACAAACGAATCATTGATAGTAGTACCACCCGATGACAGCCGACAGCCCAACGCCGCGGGAATGTCTGAGTGACTACCTAGGAAGATGGTAGCGCCCGTGGCATCTTCAAGAAAATGCATGCCTGGGGATTTGGCAAGAGCTGTGGCTCTGTGAGATAGGTTTGCCGATGTGTTCGAGTGTGGAAGTATTTTCTCAGTGGATGAGCTGCCATGAGCTCGCGTCTGGATGAGATCTGCTTTTAGCGAGGAGATTTGTTCCTCTATACTTTCAAGACGACTGATCATCAAATCCATCGATGAACTAGGCGTGGGTGCACTCCGGCCCAGCCCAGGGCTAGGTAATAGTCAGCCAAGAGCCCAACATGGGTAATCGATGCCATGTATCAGAAGCGGCAGTGTTCCTAGTGTCATCTGCTCCTAACAATCAAAACATACCTCCATATCTCAGGCCTGCCGCCGCCTCGCTCAAAGTCCTGGCCCGACCCAGAAGCCGACGGCGTACAACATAACTCTGGATGGCCCCGCTGCACACAGGTCGCACATGGAGAAGCCCCATCGCAGCGAACCTTCCTATGTCGACACGGAAAGCAAGACTTGATGCCCCGGAAACGACGCTTCCGTTTGAGCAGGTCCCTGACTTGGCTAGTGTTGAGTGGATGGGGATTACCATCGGGTATGTCAATATCCGCGGACCCATTCATAGTTATTTTGGAAGCTGAACAGCGTATATATCGAAATAAAGACCATCGGAGAGCATACAGCGCGGGTGCCGATACCGAAGGTGGAGCCAAGTAGTTATGTCATCCCAAAAACATGAAAACCAAACGTGGCTGTCTAATGATTTCACAGAGCCGTAGTCTTCACTCCTAAAACAATTGAGACCTCTGCTTTCTACGTCATACCGTGCGTCTAGATTCCCCTCGGATTCCCCATTGTCCAAAAAGAAGGCTATCTAGATAGCTAAAAGCTAAAAAAAACTAAAAAAAAATATTGACCAGACTGGGGCTCGATCCCAGGACCTTATCGGTGTTAACGATACGTGATAACCAACTACACCATCCGGCCAGCTTATAGAGAGAGATTCGTTTTTATGCTACATGACTCTACATGTAGATATACTGGGAATGTCACATTTTTCCCTCAGAAAGTCTCCACTTCTACGTTGGAAGACCTCCGGTGTGAGCCGAGTTCAATCTTGATACATCCTAGGTCTATCATAGATGATAAAATCACCATTTGTTGGATTGGACGTGATACCGTTGAGGAGAGGAGGTCTGGATGCGAAGGAAGTGAATGTATGCGCCAACTAGGCTGCAAAAATTAATTGTTTGAGGCTTGAGGGTTGGAATATCCCCTGAATGAAGGAGTACTTTATACCCTCCATGAATACGACTATCTGTAATACTAAAACAACAAGGCCTGCTATTCGGACAGCTTATGAGTTTTCTCAGATTCGCTTGGGTCTGGTTCCCGTCATTTTTCCCTCCTATCTAGTCTGCTAAGCTGATCAGGCTCACTGAGATTGAGCCCGTCCAGGCCCTAACGCCTGAGCAGTGCCAACGTATTGTGCAGACCCTGGTTCAGCGTTCCAAGTTTTGCCTCAAGCTTGCGCACTAGCTCCGGTGCTTTCTCTGGCTCCGAAACCTCGCCCACAGGAACCACTACACCGCGCAGATCTCGCGCAATCATTTCAATTTGCTCGTGCAGTTGGTCCCTGAGCGTAGCAAACGGCTCGTTCGAAGCCGCAAGATATGACGACTGCACTGAATCCGTGTACTTTCTGTAAAGTTGCATATTTGTCAAATGATCGCGCATGATATTCTTGCGTCTCTCAAAACTTCCGTTTCCTGGCAAGAAACATTTTTGATCAGTCTATGACTCTAATAGATCTCACATAAAAGGCAATAGAAACGTACCTCCGTCTCGGCTGCATTCATTGTACGCCTCAAGCATAAGGTCAGCAATCAACGAACTATTGTTGTGGCCATTGAGGGTGTGGTTTCTTGTAGATCTGACAAAGTCTCAGTAAGTTCAATTTGCAAGTTGATATTTTGTACTGAGCATACTCTGTCTCTTGAATTATTTGCGCGAGAGTTTTGTTGAAAATATGGATGATGTATTCCTTTCTGTGGCTCAAAAGCGAGAGGAGATTTTCAATTGCCTGAGGGGCAACTGAAAAATGACCTGGAGAGTATTGTACGTTAGCAAACCAAGCCACAAGTTAGGGAAAAGTCTGAATCATGTGGAGTTTGATCAGAGAAAGCCTTGCCTTGGAGTGTGTTAGAGACAAGCTGAAAAGACGTCGAGATATTACTGTGCAGCGGATCTCTTTGAGACATCAACCAATTTCCGAGAGTCTCCCATCTTGGATCCAAATCGGGCCGTACTTGTTCCATCAGCTCATTGTTCCAGCAACGAGGTTTCTGGCCCTCAACCCGATGGTTGCCGTTCTTTCGGCAAAATGCAGCATAACTTCCCCAATACAACTCCAAGAAGACACTATTGTCAGCATGGAGTCGATTCACTGGTTTCTGGTTGAACATACGGTTTCCCATTCCTGGCTTACTGCAACAAACCTTTTCTTCAGTTCCCTCTGAAACAAAGGGTCTGCTCGCAAATTAGAGACTTTGAAACACTAGATATCGATGGTTGAAACGAGCTCACGAAGTTGATGCATGACTTGATTATCAAATTCAGAATGCAATTCACTCTGCGTGCGAGCGAGATGCCCCCGACCCGAGGTAAAGTCCTACCCATTGTCAATTTTCTTGCGCTGTGAAATCTTCGAGTCAAGCAGCATGAATTATCAGACATACCAGACGTAGACTTCGCTCTGCCTGTTCCAGTGCACTTCGGAGCTCATGGGCTCTCGCGGGGATCACAGAATCACGACCTGTCAGAATCCACTGATGAATGGAATCTAGCAGAGCAGGTGCTTGTTCCTTGATGAAGACCAAAGTGGAAATCATCCTAGCTTCTGCAGGGACTGATCGGCAATATGAACGAAGCTCTCGGACTCCGCTGAGGTTTCGGTATTTTGTTGCCAGCCTATGTGGAGGATTTCCATAAAGCTCATTGCCAACGCAGAATATTTTGATGTCCTTGGCTTCATTCCTTTCATCGTTGTAGATTTCCCTTGCAAGATCTCTCTTTGTTGAGTCGTTTCGTTGGTTCATAAGGAGCGCTCGTCGCCTGATTATGAAAGTTAGGATCCTCCAAGGTATCTGTTGAATGAATAATAACACGCACTCGTAGTAAAGGTTTTGTATCTTGTTTCTGCGAAGTGGTTAGCCGGCTATGGAGTATTGAGTTAAGTCACTTCCTTACTCCCAAGAGTTTACAGCTCGATCTGCTATCCCCTGGCCCTGTGATTCTTGCTGTTGGTGCTCGATACTGTCGAAATTGGACTCCAGCTTCTTGATTTCTGCATTCATATTCTGCATACGTCTAGCATGAGGATCAGTGCCACGAGCAGACTCTTCCGGCGAGATTTCCTAATGATAAAAGTCAATAAAGCCCCAATTTTGTTAGCAAGAAAAGAAATTACATCCGCTCTTGTGCAAACAACTCTTATACGTTTTCTTTCCCCAATCTTCTTTATCGTGTCGAAAATCGACTGATTCGAAACACATCGAAGTATTCCAGTTACAATGAACACTTCATCGCATGTGCTAGCAATATATCGCTCCGTAGCGCGTACCCTCGCATGATTCATATCGCGCAGCCCTACCAAAAGTGAGCTACATCACTTCAGCCAATAGGGCACCGAGATAGTATTACCTGGTAGGTCTGCAAGCACCAAACCGGTCTTCAACACAGGTAGCTCGAGGAAAACCCTCCAGGTTCATTAGAATCAATTTTTTTGCCGGGATGGGGACCACAAACCTGATCAGCTTGATGAAAGGCCACAGAGCAGGTGTATTGCTGTCCCCAGGGCTATTTGTCAACCTGTCCAATTTGCCTTTACAGCTCTCCAAGTCATCTGCGACGGCAGTATATTGCAGTGAGCTCAATCTTCCGGGCCCAGATTTCAATCGATTTAAGGCCAGAGCTTTCAACTCTTGCAGAATCTCAATTTCAGCTCCGGGGCGCGAGAGATACTCAATTGTCAAGTCTGACCGGTTGTTGAAGATTTCCTTGAGGGTTCTATGCGATCGTTTGCTTATCGCATCGAACTCGGCCCAGTTTTCACCTGTGGCAAGACTCCGGTCGGTCGGAACCGAAGCTCGTCGAATGCTTCGCAGAAGCTCTTCTAGAAGACCATTGACTTCTATTTCATCCATAAACTCAGCTTCTATGGTGTAGGAGCGGGGATGCTTTTCATCCACATATCGAAACTCCGTAGGGACCGAAGTACATGCGGCTCCTGCGCCACTCTACATCAAATGTGTCAGGAAGTTGTGGCCATTCTAATACATAAAAAGGGAAAATCACCGAGCGTGCAAGATCTCTCTGATCGAGTATGGAGTTGATGACGGAGCTCTTGCCTGTTCAACGATCAGACCTGTCCATATCGGGATAGGAAGAAGAGAGCACCAACCTGCTCCGGTTTCACCTATGAATCCAACAATGCGCCTTTCCTGGTCCTTGTACTCACTGAGCTTTCTAGCTTCTTGGTAAATCTTATGTAACCTTGTCCCTGGGTCTTGAGACAGTGGACACTCAGAAATCACGCGCGAAAGCTCCTGGAGCTGGACTTTGACGACATTGAGATTAGCCTGGAGATTCCGGTCATCGATAGGATCAGGAGGGAAGAGATCATCTCTAGTCCTATTCGAACCACGCATATCTTCATCCACGGGTAATGTGCTCGAAAAATTCGTATCTTGGATCAGATCTGTTGCTCGGTTTGCGGGAAGTCCATTCACACTACCTATTTCCACGCTAATGCCTCTCTCTCGTGGCCTGAAACTAGAATGTCCTGTGGGTACAGCAGTCTGAACTGGTAAATCTGGTGCACCTCGTGGCATGTTACGATTTGCATTGAGATTTGGCAAAACGCTGGGTTGCGGATCCGGAAGTCTAGGGGCCATAGTGAAGTCCATTGAGGGGCCTGCACTTGCGGGAAGACCCGAACCCGAGAAGATCATACCGCTATCCAGTGGTCCACTAAAGAGGCAAGCGGATCGAGTTTGACATTCAACACCAGAAGGGCCTGATGATGACGATCTGGCCGGGACAGCAGAGGACGTTCTAACGTCGGGTCTTGACCCGGAGAGAACGCTGTTCAGGGCAGGCGAAGGGTCGAATATCCTCGTTCCGCTTGTTTGTGGTTCATCAAGGATGTTAGCTGATGCAGTTTGGCTACGATGACCAGGATAACGTGGTGATGATGTTCGGACAGTGAAGCTGGAACCGAAGACGCTGCCGCTCAGGGCAGGCGGAGAAGTGAAAAATCTCGTGCTGATAGTGGATGATCCACCAAAGATGCTACCTAATGCAGTTTGACCATTATCGCCAGAGGAACCTGGTGGTGATGGTCTAGCTGGGACAACTGTGGGCGTTCGCACATTGTAATCGGAATCGACATTGCTGCTGCTCAGAAGAGGTGGCGGATTGAAGATCCTCGTGCCGCTAGTATTTGGTCCACCAAAGGGGCTACCGAATGGATTTTGACCAACATTGTCAGAAAGATGTGCTGATGACGATCTCGCCGGGACAGTAGACGTTCGGGTATTGGGGCTGGACCCGAAGATGTTGCTGCTCAGGAGAGGCGCAGGGGTGAAGGTTCTCGTGCTGCTGTGAGGTGGTCCACCAAAGAGGCTACCAGGTGGAGTTTGACTATAACCGTTAGAAGAGGCTGGTGAGGATGATCTAGATGGAACAGATGAGGGCGTTCGGGCATCGGGCCGGGACCCGAAGAGGCTGCTGCTTTGGGAAGGTGAAGGGGTGAAGATTCTTTCGGACGAGGGGCCCGGAGAGAGGGTGAAATTGAAGTCAGACGATGGGACTCTCATTCTGCAAGACCTTCGATCTGGATCAGCCTTAGTCGATGGTGGTTCATGAGCGGAAACCTGAGGATGGACGGGCCGGCCCGGCTTATAAGAACTGGGGCGCAGCATTCCCCGATGGGGCTGGCTGCATCGTAAATGCATCCACTATCCGAGAAGCGTCCTGTTCTGCCTTGCCATGCGCACTAATTCAATCTAGTGTGACAGGCGCCGATTCATCAGCGCTTAGCCATGGGCTCCTAATATCCCGGATGCGATAGTAATAACGAACGGTTTCGATATGCACACCATCTGTTTCCACCATGTTAATCTGATCCACACCACCTGAAAGTATCTGCCAATGATAGGACCTTCTGGACGAAGGGGTGTGTTGGCCCTGTTACGGCCCCCACCTAGCTCGACTTGATGGTGCGCTAGCGTGCTTCATGATCCCTGTCGTAGTACCATATCCTAGCTCTGGTACGGCGCGAAGTAGAGACCACTGGATCGAAACAACTTCGGTCGCTCACCAATCATCCTACCGCCTCCCGTTTTGTGCCCTTCAGCGATCAAGTGCAGAGGATGCAGTGGCCTTGTGTAAGGCACTTTGTACGGCCTTCCTTATACAAATTGCCTTGCACAAGGCCACTTCAGCCTCTACACTTGATCGCCGAAGGAGATCAGAATCAGGATTCGTTCCCTCGCAGGGAGTAGAGCGTGCATAATTCTCTTTTAATTATTGTTTACATACTAAATCAGGCTTGCAATTACCTATTATAAAGTGCTGCAATTGATCATTTCTATCATTTAAACCGCATATAGCCTATCTTTAAAGATGAAATCGACATTTTCAATATCCCTCGATAACACGAATGACCCTCCGCCGCCTATGTATGACCTTTATGACCCTCTACCACCTATGTATAACCTTGATAGCCCTGATCACTACCCCTGTATACCCTTACTTCTCGTATGGCGTAGAGACGCATAAGCTCGAGCAGTAATGAATCAAGAGAGGTAGGATTGCCGGATATTACATAGTCTGCCTAAGGCAGATACAACATGCATAAATATGCACCGTACAATTACAACAGTCGGGGAAGCATTAGACTTGGGAGGACCCAAACCGCAGAAGCGGTGAGAATCTCACTTGGCGGCGAGTACTGGGCGAATTGCTTATCACCAATCATTGATAGCGGGTGAATACTCCATCCAATAATACCGCCTGGGGCTGCCAAGGCTGCCTCGAAACCTCGAAGTGTACATCGCCAATCACTACGTCAAACTTGTTTCCCTGTTTACGGCTAAACAAAAATGACATAGTTGCATAATCCAGGAACTATCTTATACTCGCTCAATAAATCTCATCTCGACCCAACTGGACAATTTGAATTTATCCTCGTGGGTAATTAATCCCTTAACCCTTGTGACAGCAGCGGAATGCATTTCCAATTCCTCTTCTTGGCATTCATTGCTGCTCCCGTCCTAGCCTCTTCCTATCGCTTCAACCCCTTGGAACATTCCGCCGGCATCGCACCTTACTTTATTCCCCACGATCCTCCCCTCGATTCTTCCCCTCCACAAGGGTGCAATGTCACTCGAGCAGCTTACCTCGTCCGCCATGCTGCCATCTACGCCAATGATTTTGACTACGAAACATACCTCGAACCCTTCGTGAAGAAGCTGCAAAATACGTCCCAGAATTGGTCATCAACTAGCACACTCCGATTCTTGTCAAACTGGACCGCGCCGGTAACCGAAACGCATCTGGAGAAACTCACCCGTATTGGCCTGCAAGAAGCGCGGTCGCTGGGAATAAGTCTACAGAAGAATTATGTCCACCTCAAGACTCCCACGAAGGTCTGGTCTTCGACTGCGCAGCGAACAATCAAGAGTGCACAAAGCTTTATTTCGGGATTCACCGGCAACCATACCAGCTCCGTCAACCTGATCCAAGTCGAGGAAAGCAAGAAGGCAGGCGCCGATTCCTTAACACCCTACAAGAGTTGCTCCGCGTACAGCTCTTCTTATGGCAGTGATCAATCATCAGTATGTTCTTTCCCTTTCTCTCCCAGACAAATTCATTGACAATCCAGGCATTTGGAGAAGTTTACACCAAGCCCATCATCGCTCGTCTCAACGCCCAAGCGCCTTCTTTCAACTTCACCCAAGACGACATCACTGGCATGTTCGAGCTCTGCGGCTATGAGACGGTCATTCGAGGCTCTTCGCCATTCTGCTCTTTAAATCTGTTCACGTCAGACGAGTGGCTAGGATTTGAGTACGCCAATGACCTAATGTACTTCTACAACACCGGTTACGGCCGAAAACTTTCTGCCAGTCTCGGATTCCCGTGGTTGAATGCCAGTGTCGCAGCGCTTGATGACGAGTCATCGGCGCAAGAGCTATATGTCTCCTTCACGCATCGTGAACTGCCGCCCACAGTTATTACCGCACTCGGACTTTATAACAACAGCGCATATACTGAAGCGAATAACGTGAATTATACCATGCCTGAGGACAAGATCAATTACAACCGTGCCTGGAAGAGTAGTGAGATTCTTCCATTCCTCACAAATATTGCTATAGAGAGGATGTCATGCAAAAGTTATGGATTCGATGAGGGTGTCTACTATAGGATTTTGAACAATGCTGGTCCGCAGCCATTGGTGGACTGCCGGGATGGTCCGGGTGGAAGCTGTACGAAGGAGCAGTTCCATAATTTCGTGAAGGAGCGAGACGAGTTGTTCGGAGATTACAACAAAGCGTGTGGGAGTGATAGCGATTACCCCTCGTCTTTGTCCATCTACACAAACGAGTCCTGATATTATCTCAAGAGGGCGGTTGAACTACCACTGGTTTACAAAAAATTTCAAGTTCAATTCACAAGCCGTAGAAGTCATGAACGTAAAAGTACACAATGCTAAGACTATCAAGTTATGAAAACAATGCCACTGACCCGCGAGAGGGAACCCCGAATAATTATAGCCGACCCCGGGACCCCATTATGAAGCATAAGCCGCTCAGCCCGGTCATGGCAATCATCGATTAGTGCTGCCTGCACGCTTGCAAACTCTCGGTCTTCAAACATTTCCAAACCCCTAGTCTTCACTCAATCTTACCCGCCAGAAGAACTCCGGCAACTTCCACTGAAATGTCAACAGCATATTCTTGATGTTCTTGATATCGTGCCCAGTATGGTTGACAGGGCACACCCACTCAGAGATGAGAAGAGAAATTTCCAATGGAAAGCTGATTTTCCTGGAGCAAAAGTTGGGACGTTCGGCTTCGACTTTAGCAACTTCAAACGCTTTCTGAACCGCGGGTATAGCGAGGGGATTTTGGTAAATATCATAGCCAAGCTCAAGAATCGGTAGAAACTGAGTCGGCTCGACCAAATGAAGATTGTAGTCCGCTAGCTGCCATAATTTGTTCTTGTGCCAATATTTTCGGGAAGCTGGTATCAATTTTGTTAAATTGCGCTGCGTCAATTTTGTTCCTAGGACTCGCTCAAAGAGCACCCAGCAATGAGCATGGACAATGTAGCCAATCTTTTTGCCCTGAAATTGAAGAGGCTGTCGTCCGATGTCCGCAGCATAGAATGACGTGAAAAAGATATTGTCGTATCTCACATTTGTTTTGCCACAGAGCATCTCATTTGTCGTGCGACAGAGTCTCTCATTTGTCTTGCCACCGATTCTCGCCATCACTGGATCACTTGGAATGTAGAGAGGTCCATTTGGGTCCTCCTGAATCATATTAATTCCAGTCAGGCGGTAGCTGCTTTCGGACTCTTCTATTACTGTGATGATTATGGAATCTTAGTATGGTTGGTCAGATGTCCAAGTCCCCAAACTCACTGGTTCGAAAAAAGCATGACCCTAGCCGAGGGAAATCGCTGATGTATGCGTCTTCTAACTCTGAAGATGGAACCATCACATGCTTTCGACTATGATCCCAATAGTTTTCCCATCGACCTTTTCTGAATACTTCGGGCTTGCGTGAGTTTGCTATTCTCCTCTCAGCGCGCCATGGAATTTCAGTTCCGCAAAAAAGACATGTCGGTGGTGGATTGACCCCAGTGGTGGTACATCGGGGTGACTTGGGCTTCCTTGCCGTTGGCCTTCGTTTAGATTGGGGGGGTAACCTAGGTATCATGGTTCTTTCAAAGAAAATGCACAGTTGTGCGTTAGCCGTGGTGTCAGGATAGACAAGGAAAAATGTCCTGAGTAGAAGATGTTGATTGATCTATAAGATATCCAGCATAATATTACGTCATAATGAATACTCGACAAGCGAATCAAAACTGCTCAGAGTTTATTTTGCTTGGAACTATCCACTGACTGCCTTAGGAAATTCATTGGTATACTTACCCTAACAGTATGGTTCTTTTCAGCAGTGCTCCCAGATAGGCATCGGGCATGGACCAGTCTGCTCAAGTGATGACCATTATCAGACGAAGGCAGTTCGCCATATTCAAGAGCTGCTCTAAGGAGGTTAGATTTGTTTCCGGGGTGGGGCCCATGGCTGATTCAGGATGATTGGGGCGGGTTCCCCGGGAGATTTTGGTTTCGTGATTCGTGATTCCAGTTCACCAGGATAATTTACAATTGAAGCATCTTCCAAGCATTGACCAGATCTCGAAGGAACCTCGAAGGATCCTTGACTAAACATAGAGCAGACCTTGGTAGACCATTTGGACCTTCATTTCTAACACCGCTGTGTAATTATCGTAGTCTGGAAGAAACACTCAGACTCTCTTGGATCGCCTTCAACGTTTGAATTAAATCCTCCTTTTTCGCAACCATATCGTGTAGCCGCGCAAGTTCCTTCTCCTCTAGCAGGAGCAGATTTCCAATTTTCTCGGCGATGTCAATGTTTCCAGCCTCTATAGATTTGCTAGCTCGCTCAGTCCCTTGTAACGGACTGTTTCCCTCTCCTTCTGGGTTGTTTTCCCCCGCTCCCAAGGATGTCGCTGGCCACAAGCTGCACCGGTCTTGTTGCCGCCCATGGTGACAGTTTGCACAATGGTATTGACCAGAGACTCTAACACATACGGGGTAGAGACCATCTCCAGCCAAGCAGTTGGTGCATGCCGCCTGACCCTCGAGAGCCTTATCGGCAACTACCTGGGCGTATAAAGCCTCGGTATTGTGAGGCTTTTGATTGATGAGCTCGATTAAATCTCGCCCGTTCATGGGCCAAATCCTTTTGCGGCTGTTTGGAGCCCGCAATATAGGTTCCCTTCTAGAAGGGAGGTCTCTCATGCTATACAGAAGCGTTCCAGGTGTCCGAATAGCTCGCCTCCCAAATCTGTATTCACGTTCTTTGGCCATGTGGGCCCAGTATCCGGGCGGGAGACTGACCGCGCTGACGATCGGGGTGTCGAATGTGGGAGACTGATTGGACGGGATGCTGTGATTTTCGAAGTTCTGGTCTTCCATCTTCAGGATAGGGATGCGGTCATCTTCAACTTTGGCTTCTTCCATCTGCAAACAATGAGATCAGCTTGTCATAGATGGATGAGTGTAAATCACCTTGGTGGAGACTGCGGATGGGGGTTTCAGATCAAAGTGAGTGTTGGGGTATCAGGAGATGTGCCACAGTGGTTTGTCTTGCCTGGTGAGAGTGAGAGTGAGAGGGCTCGCAACCGCAAAGAGGAGTGGACCGTGTAGTGGTAATTCAGTGAAAATGGGCTTCTCCGAAATACTCTGGATCAGATGAGTCTAGAGAGCTTAAAGAGGGAAGCTTTGGGGATCGTACATGTATGGGTCATCTGACTATGATCAACAAACCACTTTCATCTCTCCCCTCAAATCCAGTCAACACCTTACAAGAAGAGCGATAAAGGGTAGACAAAAGAAGCCAGCGGCAAGCGGGGGCCATATTTAAGCTATAAGGCAGATTTGCCAGGGAAGATGAAGGTGAATTGTCCTAAACCTGCAAAAATACCAACCACCTAGGAAGGAAACTCGTGACTTGCCGGGCCACAGCCCTCACATTTGACAACAGAGCCAATGTTCTCGATAAGAATAAAAGGAAGAATAAAAGGGAGAACAAAAGCGAGGAAAATTAAACTAAGAGTTCTAATGCCCGATCTTCTTGAATGCTTCTAAGAAAGCACGTTGATGCCTCCTCACCCCCTCATCACGGGCGACTCGATTCCCCTGCCATGCCTTGTAGACGAATCGATACCACGCCTTTTTCTTGCCGGCCATGGCCTTCACCTGTCTCTCGATTGCTTCCCAGGATTGAGAGGTTTCCACTAAAGCAAGTGTGAGATACTGCAGAGGCTTGACATGCGGTCGCTTGATCCCAATAGGAGTTGTGTTGATGTCGTGCGTGAGGAGCAATGACCATGTTTTCATGCTCATTTGATTGTCAGACAAATTTGAGAGTTCCTGATTTGGGTCAGTGTCGAAAAGCGACGGGTACTGGAGCCCGATTTGTTCTCTTAGGTAATCGGCCTCATACATAGCTCCAAGTCTGTACGCGGTGATCTCGGTCAATTGCTGCACCTTTTCCTGGGGGTAGCTTGCTCCCTTGAGAACCTGGTTCAGACAATTGTGCAACCCGATGTTCGGACCGCCATTGTCGGGACCGGGTCGCGAGGCAAAGTATTCTTGGGCGAGATATTGTAAACGTTTCAGACGTCGTCCGCCAGCTCTAGCCAACTGGCCACTTGCCGGGCATGTGGATGGGGGAACTTGGCGCAGGGACTGCCATTTTTCCTTGTATGAAATAAGAGGCAAACCGAGGCGGGTCTGATAGCTGGTCTCCCATTCATCGTTTTCCGCAGAGAAATGAATCTGCTCCGTATCGCCAAGCATCCCCATCCCCTTCACACAGTCATATACAGACTTCGCAAACTGTATGTATGTCGGGTGGTCCATGTTCTCATTGATTTCATCCTCGGCATCTACCAGGCAGCGTAGTACTGCGGAGGCGGCCAAGCTGCCGCTGGCCCGTCCAACACTTCGGCTAAGGGGCCACTATGAGGATAAGCTTTCCTGCCCTGCTGCTGTAATTGCTGTTGCATTGAGCTGCTGCTGTCCTATGTCGGGGAGCACTAGCCAGCCGCCGGAGTAACATGAGGTGGTGAAGAGGGTCACTTGGGACCTGTTTCGTAGTACCTGGCGCAAGTCTCTTAGGCGAAGGATCGACCCTGCAACCTCAACGTCATGTGTTGAAGATCCATGACCAAATATCAATAGCACAAGATGCTCTCGGAGGCGGGCTGCTTCAGCAGCTTGCTCTTGGAGGGTGTTTAGGTATCGTTCGAGAAGGAAGTCTCTAGGCACAACCCGTAAATTTCCAGCCTTCAATATGCCTGGGAGCCTCTGGCTATCAAGCACCGCCCGACGATCCTCGTTTGAATCGCCATGAAGGTATTCATGGTACTCGGCGACTAGGGTTTCGGGATCTTCACATGTTAACCAGATTTGGTTAGGTGCTACTGATACTCGCACGGTCAGCAGAGAGCGAACAACAGAAGGATCGCACACTCACGTCGAGGGAATGTCGGGGACAAGAGATAATGGAATAGGTAGAAATCTGAAATAAACCACCCATCTTCACTTGGGCTAGCGACATCTTCTATATCTGTTGTGCCAAGTAGTGCTAGGACGCGATGGCGCGGGGGGAGGTCTAGGGGACAATGCGTGAGAAACTCGTGACCAACAAGCTCTTGCTCCGTCTCCGCCTGGCGGCCTATGGTGTGGAAATCGACAAAATCAGCCGTGCGGATGGTGGTGGCCATTGCAAGTATACAACTTGGTATCCCGGTTGGATGGAATATAGGAGTGGTGGGGCTGTAATGTGATGAGACTTGTGGGTCAGAGGAAGTTGCGATGATTCGATGGGTAGCACCGGGAAAGAAGAGCACTAAACCGGAAGGGACCGCGCTAAACTCAAGAGCGTAATTCACCGTCACTGCCGGATACGTGTAGATTACAATTTAAATGACGAATATAAAAATTGCCTGCTAGTAACAGGTAATACAATAACAACATCCATATAGTGAATGTCTTTAGTGTCCGTTTTGCCAAATGAAGTCCAATTCAAGTTGAAAAATAAGAAAGAAAATAAGCATAGAAAATAAAACATCAACAAAAAAGAATGACCAGACTGGGGCTCGATCCCAGGACCTTATCGGTGTTAACGATACGTGATAACCAACTACACCATCCGGCCACTTGATTGGATGACAGCTCTTCAGAATTTGAATTCTTAAAACTCTAGAGTTGCTGAATATCTCGGAATAGGGTGCCAGGGTATATAATCTTGTCAGTTTTCATCACTTTCTTTTGATTCGGTTGGTTGGAACCCACTGCGAGGGATGAAAGCACTTAAGCGTCCATTTTGACATTTCGCGACACCGTCACTTAAATGAGACTATTAGCATAGGCGAGGCTGCTTATTCCGTGTTTTGTGCGCAGCCTAGCAATTGAATGGTAAATTTTATTAAAGCTTCATATGCTCTGCGAGGTTCAAGTGTTGGAATTCGGAATTTACGGGTGATCGAAGATTGAAATATTTGAATTAAGGCTTTTTGCCATTTAAAGCATCGCATCTTGATGCTGTCTCAAGTAGAAATGATTGAAATACTTGTAACTAACTACACATTTGGCGCAGACTATTCGCCGGGTCCAGTTCAAAAGTGAGATGCTATTACTCACGACCCACAGAAAGATACTAAGAAATTTCCAACTAGGAGTAAAAGGCTCCACACTCCATAACAGCCCGGGTGGTCTAGTGGTATGATTCGCGCTTAGGGTTCGACCTAAGCACTCCTGCGCGAGGTCCCGCGTTCGATCCGCGGCTCGGGCCTGTTTACTTTTTGTCAATTGAATATACAATGGCTTTTTTTTGTTTGGGAAGGTGGTTGTGTGGTGTGGTTAACTTAAATGGAGGCGAGGTGTGAAAACACTTTGAAATTTCATTGGCCGAAGCCAAAAAGTATCTGTGGAACTAGGTGGTTCGGATCATTTTTGTTTCGAACTTTAGTTTCTGCGATTGAATATTTTGGTACATATCCTGGGAGTGGGGCCTGAGCCAACATCAAGAAGTATGCTGCACAAAAAACGGCTGAATCACGTTGCGGTAAACCTGGGTACACCAATGAACGTAGGCACCTGTTGACTACTTGTTCTAAATCAAATCCAAAGCCAAACCCGGCGACACGGAAGTTTCAGTCTTGACTAGTGCCTTTAAAGTTCTTCCGACCTGCAGGATCTGAAGGCTAGTGGCTTTAGCGGCGAAAGCCCCATATTACGGCCAGTCACTTCTAAGATTGTGGCTAGCATCCGTAGAATGGAGAGAGAAAAAAAGCAAATTGACACTCGGCGCGCCAAAGCGAAAAATCCTGGAAATAGACAGGTATCAAACATTAGACTTACAGATCAAGACTCATCTCATATTTTGCGGGGTTTGGCTTGGGCGCGATTTGCGATGCCGACCTCGCTTCTCGAACCTGACCAATAACAATAGTCTGGGGCTCTGTTCGCTCCGAGCAAGGCTGAACATGCCTCTAAAGATGCGACCCCGTAATTTCGTGGCGCCCCTAGAAAGACTTGGCTCGACTCATTAAATAGGACGGGCCCCGTAAATCCAGTCTTCCTCGTTTTTGTTTACTTCGCTTTTCTTGACCGGCGAATTTTCTCTCTGTCCCAAGTCGATCATCCTCAGTTATACTTGAAGCAAACCAACAAAATGATCAAGACTCTCTCCATCGCCGCGTCCGTGCTAACGCTGGCGACAACCGTACTGGGCGGCTGCGAAACCATCAGCTACACCACCTGCGCTGATAACATTGTGCACTGGTACAACCCAACAAATGGAGAAGTCTGCGACCCCCTCGACTGTGGAGGTGGTCGTGCCCCCGTCAAGTACGACGTCCCCTGTTGCGCAGCTTACAGAGGCACGGAACCCTGCGTTTCGACTACCTCTACTCTCTCTTGCTGGAAGCCCTCATCTGTCTTGGCTTCTTCGACGGCAGCATCCACCTCTGCTGAGGCTACTGAGGCTACTGTGACCGAGACCGCTATTATATCTACTTCTACTGGGGCGGCGAAGACTTCCGAGAGTGATCCTGGCAGTAGCACTGCGCCCATGACCACCACTGCGCCGACTACTTCCAATGCCGCGACAACGTCGAAGAGCGAAGAGTCTAGCAGTGGCTCGGTCGCATCAAGTGAATCTGCGTCACCTAGTGACTCCGCTGCAACCAGCAGCTCTGCTGCGCCGGTCTCCACTAACATTGCGGGCGGCTTTGTTGGCTCGTTGAAGGCTGTTGCGGGTGCTGCGATTGGAGCTATTGTTCTTGTTTAAATCAATTCCGGAGGCGCCTTGTACTTGTTCGAGATGACAGAAGGTACAAAGCCTACATATGTCACCTAATGTATGTAAATATAATATCATGAATCAATTCAACGGAAATATTGCGTGTTGTGTTGTGCTGTGTCTCAAGTGACTAGCAGTTAGAGGACTATATTGACAAGACTGTTGACGCGTCTCCCCCCAGCTACAAGAGCCAAAGCAGACGTGACTATGGTAGATGCCTGATAATAAGTGCATTGCTTGCAGAGTCAGGATGAACTTTTCTTTGTTAGGCCTAGCCGGAGAGTGGCGTAGATGTTGACTTAGTGATGTCTCCAGGGCTTTTGACTCGAGACTCAGGTAGATACGTATGGAGATGTACCCAACGCAGACGCCTCCGAGCCCGACGTCTCAGGCCCTGGCGGTCTCGAAGTCGGGGGAGATGTCCAACTTTAATATAATACAATAATATTCGAAACCAGCTTTACCGCCATTCTCTCTTTTTCTTCTCCCCAGAACCCTTCGGAAGCACACTAGTCCGTATAAAGTCATCTTCCAGCCCACCTGTATGTGTTGGAGTACGAGAGGTCAGCATAAATTATTGTACAGTATTTATATTCCATTGGCTACCTGGAGCCCTTCTACCCCTTGAATTGTGTCACTCGCTCCCACAGCTTTCTAAATTTTCTTCGTTGGGGTTTCTCGTGTAAGTTCATTTTTTTCGCGATCCTTCCTCTTGCTTAAGCGAATCACGGAAGTGACCGTCTTTAGTGAGTGGTTCCTATTCCCGCTCCTACTTAGCGTGGATGTTAACGGCAAATCTACAATCCAAAGTGTAGGACTAGCTAAAAGCTATACTAGTAAGCTTTTAAATCTGTGTGAAAGCCTTTGTAGCTACAGTAATATCGGAATTAGCTTTACTACTACTCTCGAATTCATGCCCAAACCTTGACCCGAAACACACCAATCTAAATTGGATTGTTCTCTGTAATACCAACATTGATTTTTTTGTATTTACAGGTAATGATAAAAGAGTCATTGTAATAGTACCAAAATCCCCCGTGGCAGTTGTTGGAGATATTCGCGCCCTCCCGTCACCCCACGTAGCCTCCGAATACGTTCCTCCTTTCCCTACCAAGCGGGGAAACAAATTTGATTAGGCAGAAATATGACTTCAGCTAAAGATACGTCTTAAAATGGCAATCACTGCCCGGACGCATGTTTGTAAATGAAGGCCAACGCCGCCTGCACAAAGCCCTCCGGGTTCTCTTCTGCAATCCAGTGACCAGAGTCTTTGACCACGTCAATCTGAATGTCGCCAGCATACACTTCACCCACCATTTCTTTGGCCTCTTGAGCATGCCGGCTCTGTGAACCACTGAGAATGAGCACAGGGCGCGTACATTTCCCTTTGAGGCGCAAGCTTTCCCGGTTCTCTCGAGCATCTTCTTCAAACGCCCGGTATACCTCAAAGGAACATCGTAGTGCTCCCGGCTGCGAGTATTGCAGGGCGTAAAAATCCAAGTCAAAAGGGGGAGATCGCTTGAGCGTTGAAGCTCAGTTTAGAAAAAAAATGGTTCAGATATATCTTCTCCCTTCCGGTCACCAGAGAAAGCGCCAAGTCATCAGGTACACTGTGGAACACAAAGTGGAACTGCTCAGGCATTCTTTTGTTCACGTCGTAAACAGAAGTTCCAGGAAGCGGGCATTCGCCCCAAATGACACTCGCTACATGATCGGGATACTGCGTGACATAAGCATGCGCGACCATACCCCCAATGTCGTGCCCAACCAAATGGATTGCCTGTGTAATGCCGAGGTGGTCATGAAGAAGAGAAAAGAGATCCCGTGCCATTGTCGATTTCCTAAAATCTTGGGCGGGATGTGATGATTGACCGGCCCCGCGATAGTCGGGAACTATCACTCGGAATCCCTCCTCGGCGAGAGGATTTATCACATGCCGGAATTGATACGAAGACTGCGGAAATCCATGGATCAGTAGTATGATCCCTTTTGGAGCACTGGCTGATGGCGGTCCGCAGTCGATGTAGCTAATGCGAACCGACTGATCATTGCGGTCGAAGTTCATGATCCAGGCATTTCGCTTGCTCCATTTGTTGAGAAACGAATCAGACGAACTCCCAAAACTCATGATGCCGGAAATAGTTCGTTACTTGAAGATCAGTGTTGACAATGAGTATCTGGGAGAAGTATTCGCCGATTGAAATATAACCAGCACGCAAGTTGATTTTTCATTTGATAGCGTATGACTTGGTCATGATGTCATTTTGGGGTTTATGACTGACGCTTTTTGATGCGGGGGGAAGATGAGCTTTCTTAAGTCGGCTTGTGGAGCGATAGCTATTGAAAGTACGTTGTAGAAATCCAAGGAGATATTATCTTTGGACTCTAGTAATGTTGCCGGTCGGTTGAAGCCATACAGATTCACATACCTTGAAACCTCCGGTGGAATAGTCGAGTTTTTAAGTATCAATTTTTTGATTTCACGATATAGAAAGGCAAGTTCACAGGATAAATGGATTATCCTAGGAATTCTGTTCGCTTCGAAGATAAAACTCGATGTCCCTCACTATAACGAGATTCAAGCCTGAGACAAAATGTGTTTGCAACTTCTGGAGGAAAGGCTCCCAACCTCAAATCAGACCAAAGCCTTCTTTGACATCTGGAGGATAAAGCTTTCAGGCACTGGGGTTTTTCCAATTCTTTACTTGTGTTAACCAAATAACCAACCCAATTAAGCCCCATACCCTCAAATATACAACTTTACGTAAAGACAAAAGAATATTCGATGATCAAGGCCATAGCCGACTTGATAGATTGAAAAACAAAAACAGGCTCAAAGACTTGGCGTAACGCCATGGCTCGTAATCACATCCGGGGTTAACGTATTGAACCCTCAACGCTCGCTGAACACAACAGCAGTACAAATGAAATCAAATAAACCTTGAAAGCTCGGAACCCAGTGAGGAAATCGCTACAGGATTCAAACCTGCGCCGCGAAGAAAAAAAATCCAAAAATCAAGGAAACAGAAAGGGAAACAGGAACAGGTAGAGGACCTGAGACAGAAACAGGAATAGTAAACGACGTCCACGAGGATTGGGTATCATTGAAATAACGAATCCCGTCCCTAGCCTCCCCATTCTCATTCTCCAGTTCCAAAATTAGAAACATGAACCAGAGTGAGAAAAGGCCATGATCGTGCGACAAAAGATTCAAGAAAGCAAGCCCCCATTTTGAATCGAAGAAATTTTTTTTTCAAACCCGCGATTGTAGATCGTACAAACGTAAGACGTGTGAAAAAGAGTCGTGAAATAATAATACAACGGGCCCATTACGGCAACGACAACCCGCCAAACTCAACCTCAACCTCAATTTTGCCCTTGACCTCACCGGCTAAACGACGTCCAGACGGTACTCAGCCAACCGGCCGGGATACCGATTTCCGATGGAGCATTCAGTGACATGGACCATTCGGAACCGTCCAGGAAAGCGAGGACGTCGTCGCCGCCGAGACTTGTTGAGAGGACGGATAAGTCTGGGCCTTCGGTTGAGGTTAAGGGTGGGGAGGGGGCGAGGGTGACTGAGCCTGGGGGTGGGAGGACGGGGACGCTTGTAGCTGCGTTGATAGGAGGGAGGGATTGGGAGTATGGGGGTGGAGGGGCAGATGGGCGAGATGGGAGCCAGGAAGTTATTGGTTGGAGGCGGTTTGAAGTTGCAGTGAGGTATTGGGAGGGGGGCTGGGTTGTTGCGGCAATGGATGGGAGGTTTGGTGGGGACGAGGTGTACATTGCGCCGTCGGGGTGGTGTTGTTGGAGAGATGGGAGAGAGTATGGGGATTGTGATGGCATTGGGCGGCTGTTTGGGAGGGGGAGGCTGGGTCGTCGGTCGCCGTCTAGGCTTGGGGGTGGAAAGCCTGGGCTGTTGACAGGGACCCAGGACTCGCGACGTCCGCCAGCGCCGTCTAGGGACTGGTCGGTCGGGTCGCCCAATTCGCTTTTCACGGCATTGCTGCCAGCGTCGCTTGGGATGCGCTCGGGGAGCAGGTCTCCAGCGATGGCGATGGCGGTGGCGTCGTCATCTCCGTCGAGGTGGTCTTCAATGGATCCGAAGTCGAGGAAGATTTTCTCTAGAAGCTTGAATTCTTCCAGGCCGCCTCCACCCTCGCGGATCGTGCGAACACCGTTGGTCATGCCGTGATCAGACGCATCAGACATGCTGTCGAGACGGTTGCGAGAGTAACGACGGTAATCGCGCTTGACCTTGGAGAAGTAGCTGTGCAGACGATTCAGGGTGCGGAACCAGCCCACAGCCATCTTCAGACGCGGACGCATCTCTCGCAGGATATCTAAAGCCTTGCGAGCCTGCACAGCACCGGGCTGGTGGCTGTCGTGGCTCGCAGGGGGAGGTTTGGAACCCATCAGACCATCAGGGTCCATATGCGAGAAATGCATGCTATAGACACCGATGAAAGCAGCATTGTAAATAGCGAATCCGACAAGAGGGTTCTCAACCAGAGCACCGCGGCCTTGGCAGGTCGCCACGAGGTCGATCATCTGTCGAGCCGCCTTGAATAACTCGCGGGCACTATCGCGCCAGAAAGCCTCAGACGGACCGTTGACCTTGTCCGCGGGGAACAAAGGCTCATCCAGGGGACCCACAGGCTCATTGCAACGAAGTGGCAAGAATGGGATGTACGCGCGGTGCAATACAATCACGGACAAGAAGTAGACCACGTGCATCACGGTATACGAGGCCAACGTGGTCTTGTACATGATATGTGTGTCGGTATTTCGCAAGGAGTACTGCAGGTTGCGGGACAGACTGTCCTGGAACTCGTTCAGTTGCATCCGCAAAGACGCAAAGCGCGACTCCGGGTGCCACGGTGGATATTGCTCGGTTCGACGGCCGCCAGCGCAGGACCACTTGGCGATGCTGCCCCAGATGCGAATGATTCGAATCACGCGGCTAAGCACAGACTCTTCCGCGCCGACTTCCCATCGATCAACATCGTCCTCGCTGGAGTCTTTCCGGCGCGAGATGGGGGACCAAGACTTGCCATCCGGGGTTCCATTGGTGGCAGGCATCTTGTCATCACCGAACCCACCCAGACTCTGACGGATGCTAGGAATTTGCACACCCTGGGAGCCGAAACTCTGCGGACGACGCGCCGTCGGCTCATTCAATCGAGCGGTCCGGACACGCTCGCCAAAAGCAAACGCATTATCGCTTGGAAGCTGGATTCCGAGCTCCTTCACACGAATCATGCGCGGGCGATATTTCCCACTACTCAAACACCGATCAAGAATGAAGCAAGCCCAGAAAGTCCGACGCTTCGTCTCTTGCGAGATAACATCATCGGAAGTCTGCTCCTTCATTTCGGCCCGTCGCGGCAAGCCGAAGATCACCTCGGCTTTGAACCCGGGCGATGAGCGTGACATCTCGCGAGGCGAAAACTCGTTTTCCAACTCAAATGGCAACCCCATAGCTTGTGCAAGTCGAATCGCCATGCCGACGTAAACCCAGGCACTCTTTCCGCGGCACATTCCCCACTCATGCAAGGCGAGCATCAGCAACGCCTGGACACGCGCGAGGTCTGGTACAGCGAGACTTGCGCCATCGAGACCGGCCAGCCGGCTGCGCAAGGCTGTCGCGTAGTATTCTGACGCGGAAAGAGGGTTGGAGGAATGACTAGGCGACGCCGGCGAATGGTATGCGACCAATGGAGGGTGGAAACGGGCCGTGAGAGCCAATACGCCCAACGGAATCAGCGACGCTGAAGGATCTAACTTGGCCGCCAAGCGTGTGGGATCTTGCCCATCCATCGAGACGGGCGCAGGAGTCGAGAGTTGTCGGATTTGACCGAGAAAAGTAGCCGGGTGGAGGAAAGGTAGCAGCGTAGCGAAATGCGACTGGAAGAGGTCAAAGACAGCCTCCCACACCTTTGCCGTCAGGATCGAGGAGTCAAGCGCGTCCAAACCGGCCTTGGAGCCAGGACCCGCGCCCACGACGCCTGAGACTTTGCGCGCGCGCACTCGTTTCGGACCGTCCCAGTCGCCATTCCGGTCGTCGCCGTCTACCAGAGCTTCGAGGTTTCGTTTGGCACCGCTCACGCCGATGGCTGGGGTAGGGTAGACGCATTCGCGGCCAGAGGATTCGCAGGCGCGGCAGGTTGTGTCGATGCCGGCGTTGACGCACTTGATCTTGCTGCGGCGGCATCGAGCGCAGGCGATGCTGGAGCGCATAGTTGGGAGGAGCAGACGCAAGGCCTGCGTTGAATGCGAAAAACGGGATCGCTCAATGTGGACGAAGTTTTCCCATGGATGAAGAAACCGGGGAAAGGGGAGTAGGTGACAGGTCTGGGGTAATTAGTACAGTACAGTACCGAGGACCGAGTACAGAATGCAAAGTATATCACGGGATACTATGCATAGAGCAGACAAGACACAAAAGTACTTACAGAGAGAATCCGGGGAAAGAGAGAGAAAGAAGAGTGTACCTGGGGGAAGGCGGGAATAGGCGGAGTGTGGGGGAAAAAAGTCAAAGGGTCGGGGCACTCGGGAATGCGAATAGGTCGGGAGGGAACGGAGTCGAGACCGAACAAGAAATCCGAGAGCCGCTGGGGTGAAATTGCGGAGGCCCAAATGCAAGGGTGGGCCTCCTTTCCGGGTGCCGAATGTATACCTAGAGATCCCAGGGTAGGCCTATACGGGACCTCATTACCTATATTATGTGACCTAGGTTTGGGACTGACTGCTACGTGTCCCTCTTTCTTCCTTTCTCTTTCCCCCCTCCCCCTTCTAAGTTCCACGCCCATCGCCTTCTTGACCAGCCGGAATCCCAATGCTGATCCGGCCACTTACCGTCATCGGGGGGTTTTCGCCTTTGGCAACTAGGATCTCCCCGTTCCTCTCTCTGCCCGATCGGCAATTGTGCTGCCCGGACACTAATCAGAAACCGTCCCGTCACGGGAACTCCAGATGTGGTCAAGCGGGCTCGGAGTGTACAGCGAGATTTGCAACGGTGGTTGGTGGGTGGGGTCACTGGGGAAGACGACCCGAGTATACAGTAGGGCTTGTCCACATGGTTGTCGACTGAGGGGAACCCGAGCGCGAGTTCTCAAGTCCGTGATCCCTCGGGTATTCCCATTCAACATCCAATCGACGGGGGTCCTTGAGCCCCCCGGGGCTCCCCGCGGGGAGAGGGAGACTGGCGAGACTACATGATCGATCCCCGTTCCTACTCCCCGGAAGTTACATCAGTGCCTTTGATTCTCGCGGCGGCCTCCGTACCGTGTCACGCCCGTGCTCGCTTTGCCACTGGCTCGGCAGTTTGAATACCACCGATTGTGCGGAATCAAACAACCCGAGGCCGACTGCATGGCTCGGTCTACACTTATACTGTGCGCACCTTACCCTAGACCTACGCCTAATAGACTACGGACTACCCACTCCCTACTCCCCACTATATACTTCACTCTCACTCTCACTCTCACTCCTTGTGCTTCACACCTCATTCCAACACGAATGATTCCACATCAGTTGGCAAGTGCCAACTGTCAAGGCATACCCCGATCCCCACGGCGTTTCGGCCCCGTCCGAAAATAAACACATGATTGGCCCCCAGCCTCCGAAGATGAACCCCGGCCAACCCCGCATTTGCGCTCGCATTAGGTAAATCGGCTATGGCCCGAATTGCTTTTTCTGATGGATTTTGGATGTCATAGCACATTGACCTCCCATGTTCCGCTAGATACGTCAAGGGATACTCATCCCGACCCCACAAATCAGCAGCCTCCGAATAATCCCACCTCGTCATGTGGTCCAGGGACGGAGACGGGATATTCCTTTTGCCTCGTGTCAAGCCCGGTGGAGCGCCTTTGACTTTTCCCCGGTGGATATTCTACTGCCCAGACGCGAAAAACCCGGTGCGGAGAGGCTCGAACGGGAAATTCAAGCAGTCTCGTTGCACTCGACTTGTAACCGTGGCAGATTCCCATCCCAGGATGCTACATTTCACCTCGAATTCCTCTGTAATTTCCCAGGACACGGTCCCTTCGCTCCATTTTCGCCTTTTCTTGGTTTGGGGCCTTCACCCCCGCAGCCGACGGGGGCAAGCCGAGCCCGGCCAATGATTAAAAAAAAAAAAAAAAAAAAAAACACTCCGTCTCAGCTGACATTAATAAAAGAAACTCATCCTGGCGCCCAATGTCCCCCCCCCCCCCCCCCCCATTTCCTAGGTCCACCGTAGTTACTCCATACACCATGCTCCATACTCAGTTCCAGCCCCAGAGTCAATCTTCCAGAGCAGGAACTCCCACCCGAACACGTACCTAGGTAACTAGGGAGTTACCACCCCTTTTCCGAACCAACGGGTTCTCCGTGCCGCGCTCCGGACTACCGAATCGGTCCAGCATAGGCTCTTCGGCCCCGATGAGCTCATAAACTTGCACCCTGGCCCCCCAAACCGGGCAGAAAACAAGTCTGCCCGTAAGCAAGATCGATCCTAGCCCGGCTGATCTCTCGAATCCGGAAAATAAGCGATCAGAATCGATCCCTTTCAGTCTTTTGATCATTAGCCTGGTCCCGGCTGGACCTGGCCTGATTTAACCTACGGGGTAAACCGAATTGAACCGAACTGAGTTGAACTATCCCGCCTGGGCGCGGAGTCGTGTCCGACCGAGGTAGAGCTCGAGCTCAAGGTCAAAATCAGTCCGTGAATCCCACGAATAAGAGTCAAACGGGCAATATCCCCCACGATCAACGCCCGAGGTAGGTACTTTTTTCACCTTTTAGCCAGAACGAAAACCGAGAGCCGGTAACCAAAAAGTAAAATAAAACAAATAACAAGAAAATGTGGCAAAAAGGGAAAAAGGGAACGTCGGCCCGAGATCATTGCGACATGAATCATGGCACTCCCATCATTTGTCCTCGAGTTTCTCACCAAGGATAAATTCCCCACATCGGTTCGGGTAAAAAAGAAAAGAAAAGAAAAAAGAGACAACATTCGGCTAGATCCCGATTCCGAGTCGGTGTTTCAATTGCCGTGCAAGATCGTTTATCCCGACTTCGGCGTGGGGGTGTCAGTGTAAATTTCAGTGTTAGTCTCGTTGTCAGTTGGATCGTGTTCCGTACTTCCCGTTCACCATCATGAGTTGTGAGTTATGCAATCCTGGATTAAGAAATGCACGCGGACGTGTACAGTGCTCGAATGCCAAAAGCGCCATAAGCCACAATTTTTGAATATTCTTTCACCCGAGGTTCTAGTCCAGCTTAGGGCTTTGGTCTTTGGCTTAGGCTTACGTCCGAATACGTGGGATTGTACTAGGGTATGGGAGGTCCGCTATTTCCCCGGGCGCGGGATATCATCTCGTGGCTCGTGGGCCGTAGACACGGTGACTTTCTTAAAACGTAAAAAGTACGACTCTAGTTCTAGAACACGTTAACTCTAACTGGGTGGTAACATGCTACTGTTACTACAAATATCCGTTCCACCGGGAGTTTAGCCTGTTTAGTGCGTCCCGCGTGGGGGAAATTCATCTCCGGGGATTTTGGGATGGACACGCGCTAGCCTTAATGGATGGTTGAGCCGAGGATATGCCGAGTATTGACCTGTTTAGCCTTTCAGAATGGGATTTAGCCTTGTGGAGTTCCAAAACCCCCAACTAGGTTTTGTAGGTGATGTGAGGGGGTTTAGCTGATGCTTGTGCGGTGATGCATCGGGCAACATGCCTCAACCCTGGTCGGCAAGTGGGCAGGTGGGCAGTTGAGCATATATGCTGGTAATTGGATCTATGGAGAGGTAGACAGTTAACGAATGTGAATTCCTGATTCCTAGGAGATGAAATATAGATATCCGATCAAGCGTGTATCCGCTTAAGGCAATCCTAACCACCCGTAGGCGCCTCCGCATGTCCAACATGGACATTGAGCATTGAATAGATACACCCAAACACCAGTGAACCCAAATAACTAAACACCTCCCTAAGTCTTCAAAGGATCATGTCCCCAATTCTTCAACGATTTATAACTCTTACTCTCCGTATCCTGCTTCGCCTTCTCCTCCTGCGCAAGATGCCTCTTGCAATAAGCCACAACCCTCCTCATATGATCGATATCCTGATCTCTGTAGCTATCTGGGTCTTTGTCGGGGTTATTTTCGAGGATTGAGACGATTTTGCGCCCGCTATAGTTTGGATCCCGTTAGTGTCAAGTAGATGCGAGCAAGGTATGGCTGAGGTATGATGCACCTTTCATGACCAATTGTCTCCCCGGACTCGGCACCCCAACCAGAGGACTGGGATTGTTCTTCTTTTAGCCAGGCTCGGAGTTCATTGGGGGTCATGTTGACTAGCTCATTGAACTCTCTTTGATGATGTTAGAGCGGGTTCGATTATGGCTCCAATTGGAGTCTTGACTTACTCGACGACTGTTTCGGTATCTTTGACCATGATTGCGATTTATCAGATCTCTTCAAATGAATAACTAAGATATGTATTGGCAGCAATTGGCGTGGGATCGGTGATAAATTTAAGATAGGTGTTGAGACCGATGGTGTGAACAGTTGACGTCATGATTGAGCAGCGGTTTTATAGACGCTTTCATCCACTGCGCTGTGGTTTCAGGTTTTTGCTTCCTTTAAGCTTCTGCATATTCTGGATTTTCGAATTACATCTTGCATCAGCGTATGGGCTCGGGTTTCTGTTTTGTGGCACCGGGGGGGGGGGGGGGGGGGAATTCAATCCTGCTTTACGCCAAGACTTACGTATGCCCCTTGTGTATAATCTCGATCGATTCGATGCGATGATCGGGACTTGATGCAATATTGCAGGAGCAGAACTTGAACACCGGGCAGTCCAGGTGTATTGTGTTGTGTACTAAAGCTTTATTTTATGTACAGGCAACCCAAGATTATACGATCAGACAAGGCTCCACAAGAGATGTGAAAAGACATTACAACGTGGCTATTCCTTCAGGATGCGAACAAAGATATAGTACACGTGGGGAATAAAAAAGAAAAAGAAAAACCTAGACATAAGTGTGTGTGAAAAGTAATCTTGACGATCAACTCGCCTAGTCGATCAGTCGATGAACCTATATCAGAGTTAGCATCCAATCCAACAGTCGAACATTCACAATGGGGTGATGACAGGATAACATACCAAGCAGCCATAGCAATAATCAGATACATCATCATAAGCAAGACACCCTCAAGCCAGTGAGACTTGCCATCAGCAATAAGATAGTTAACGAGCAGGACAGCGACGAAAAGAACGATGATTTGAAATGCGTCAAAGTTGAGAGTCTAGTTTTCGTTAGTATCACGTTTCTAACCTATAGGTCTTTTGATTCAGATTCAGGGATCGAAGTGTACGTACCATGTTATCAAGACCCATGATCCAACCAATAACAATAATTAAAGGCAGAACCAGAAGCGCAATCTGCATACTCGAGCCCACGGCTACACCGATCGCGAGATCCATTTTGTCCTTGCAGGCGACTGTCACCGCGGTAGCGTGCTCAGCGGCATTGCCGACAATAGGAAGGAGGATTAGACCGACGAAAGTCTTGCCAATGTGACCAGTTGCAGTAAGTGCATCGATAGAATCGACCATGAACTCAGCACAAACGGCCACAAGAGTAGTCGCGACACCCAGGGTGATCAGCGCAACCAAGATAGTCAGCTGAGGCTGCTCAGGCTCATCATTTGGATCTTGCATCTGGACCTGTTGCGCGTTCTCGCCGCCCATGGATGCAGCTGACATTTTGGCGATCTGGGCAATTCCGCGGTTGGCGTCTCCTTCGCCGATTCTTTGGCGGCGTTTTTCGACTTTCGGACTCGGACGGTTGTACATGTCGACGTGAGATTTCAGTTGGAAGAAAAGGTAGCAACCGTAAGTGATGAGAAGCAGGACGCTAGTTCCTCGGGAGAGAGGGGCTGTGTTTTCCACCTTAGCAGTGTCAGACCACTTGTGGAAAGCAGTGGGAATGATCAAACTGCCCACAGCAAGCGCAAGCAAACTGGCCGCGGTCTGCGCGACGGTGACGTTGAAGTGCTGCTCGACACGATTGATACCGCCAAAAAAGAAACACATTCCCATAACGAGCAGCAGGTTCGAAAGCATACTTCCAATCAGCGAAGTCTGCACGATTAGAACCTCCTTCTTGACCAGCGCGATAATAGCAACAATCAACTCGACTGCGTTTCCAAACGAGGCATTCAATAATCCTCCAATCGTCTCACCAGTTCGTAGAGCAATTTCCTCCGTCGCATAACTCAGCATAGCAGCAAGCGGAATAATCGCAATAAAATTAACGACGAATATCGCAATCGGGTTCGCTTTGATAGCATACAACGCAATACCGGCCGGCGCAGCAAGTATCAAAACATTGATCCACGAATTCAAAATCGTCGCGCGTAACTGTGACGCAACAGTGAACGTGGGCATCTCCCCTTTCTCATCATCGGGCTCCGTCTGCGTCTCACTACGCCCAAACTTGAAGCCTCGCTTGCGTGGCTTATCGGACTCTTCAGCACTCCTCGACACGTTGATAGGCTCCTGGCTTAGTGTCGATGGCTCCGGGCCATTGGTGTACTGATCGCTGCCCGCAGACTCGGGAGGGAATGTACCCGCGTGCTCAGGACCGCCAATGTCGCGCGTGAAAGAACGACGGCGGTCTGTGTCGTGGGAGAGGTCGCCCAGGCTGCGGGAGGCGCGGTTGTTTTGTTGAAGTTCCATGTTGATGGAGCGGGTGCGCTGGGGGCGTCTGCGGAACTTCTTGAACGGATTATGTGAGGACGGCTCGCCGTCATCGTCGTACCAGGCTAGATTGCGGGCCTGACGGCGGTAGATATCTGCCATGGTGTGAGTATTTGAGCATTGGAAATTGGCAGCTTTTGTTGTTGGATGAGGATTGTCGCGTGAAGGGGTGTCTTTATAGGGGGACTCACGCATTATGGCGAATTTAGTTGAGTGGTATTATTGAATTCGAAAGAATGAACTGGATCGCATGAGTATTTGAAGTAGATAGGCGGGTGCAAGGCTCGAAATAGATGTTAAGAGGCCGAGTCAAAGGCAGCAGCCTGATCGGGCCTCTTGCGCCACTCTTGCCTCCTAACAGCATAGACGCGCGGATCAGGGACACTTACGTGGAGTCTGTGCAATACACCTGAGCCAAATGAGTGGCAATGTGGAGAGAGAGTGGTAGCGATGGGCACAGCCTCAAGTGCAGCCACACGAAGCTTTAAAAGGCCTTTTTAGGGGCAGATGGTTTCAAGGAGTCTCAAAGACGTGTCTGTAAACACAGGGGGGTACCACGCTGAGGCAGGGAGGGGAGTCAAGGGGCAACAAAGCAACAAAGCGACTGGACAGTCCACGGACAGAATTTTGGGGAGTAAAAGAAAGGAGTCTCGAAAGAGAGGTGAGTTCAATGTTTGGTTGGCTTGCATATGTCAACACAGCCACAATCGACCAGGGGCTATCGCGAAATGCTGTGGAGATTGATTCTTGGCATTAATCGGTCTTTCATCAGTGTGCTTGCGACGCAATCTGTTTGGCATAAAGTGCCTCCTTTCATATAAGCCAGTTTGTTTGATTAGTTAGTTTGTAAATTGTAGCGCTGGCTTCCATGCCCATGCGCATGCCCAGGAAAGTGGTGCGCTGGCAACGAGTTGACCAAGTTGGCCAGGTTGGGGGGAACACGAAACAAGCCCTACCAAGGAAACTCAAATCCAAGAAAAACCAAGGCCTCGAAGCTTTCACTTTTGTGCTTAGGCTTCTTGGCGATAATGGCCCATTCAAAATCGTGAGGTCACCTCGCATAGGCGATCAGGATCATCCCGTCAACAGCTTGACTGTGACACTGTGACACTGTGGCACTGTGGCACACCCAGATCCAGGCATCTAATTGGCGGATACTCTTGGCACAAATCGGCGAAATTGGGCTTTCAATTCGCCAGATCAACTTGGGCGCTTTCAGGTCTATCACGTGTGTGACAGCGTAAATGTCGTAGATGGCGGTATCATTCACCCCAGAATGGTCAAGGCCATCTTGAGGCGGGCTGAAAGTCGGGTATTCAAGCCATACGTGGGTGGCTTGTGTGGGTGGGTAGTGGGACGGGTGTGGGCGATTGCTGCCTCAGGTGCGCGTAGGTCCGCACAGATCCAGAAGGGGATAGCAATGCGCATCTCTTTTGCAGCCCGAGTCGCGGTGAGGGTGCCTTTCATGCGACTCTTTCATGCAACTTATTCGGGTAGCTTGGTCGCCTAAACACCGTATGAGCTCCTGTGGCTAGTCAATAGGGTCAGTGCTTAGCGCCCGTCATCAGGGCGCAGTTCTTTCAATGTCTTTCAAAGGTCATGGCTTGAGTGCGAAAAGGTGACCTAAATGAGAAGAAAGGAAGAAATGGGGGCCCTGCTATAGCGCCAGCCTTATAAGGCTGAGCAAGAAGCTTGGTCTCCAGCCGATCAGGCATTTAACCCCCCTGAGCTACCTGCCCTGTTTACCCGGGTTTCGATGGGTTATTGTTGCTGCCTGCTGCTTCTAAATTTAGTCGGGTTGTGTATTTCGATCCCTTCATTGCCACTACAATTATTCAACCATGCTTTGTGTCATTTGATCTCGCCCTACATTGATTTTCTTTTGGATTTTTGACGATTTTTGACGAAAGCACGAGGTTAAGAGTTCCTTCGATTCTTGGCCATACACTAGACCGCTATTTCTGGGCAGTGACCAGGGACTTCTACTCTTGGAGGAACACAGAAAAGAGACCTTGGTTAAGGTAACACGGAGACCACCCTCACCGTCCTTGGAGCCTCAAGCTCGTGTAACTTCCACCCCCAGCAACGCATGAAAGCTTTAACCGAAGATAGCCGTGTAAAGTAATGCCTCACTGACACTGAAATGAATAATTCCCGACATATCGCTGATGTCGACGTGAGTAAAGCGCCACTGAGAGGTAGTTAGGCCTCGTCGATGCAATAGGAGTGTACTCTTCTCCATGCCCTCGATCATGAACAACCAGATGCCCAAGTGCTTAGATTCCGTGGTCTTGTACTATGCCTGATCACTGTAAGACATCTTCTTATACAGTAGTTTTCGAAATCAGCTATACCTCAAAAACTTATCGCAAGCGAGATGAAGCTGTTATGGGTCGGGGTTGGATACGGCTATGCTGTATCCTATGTATCGGCACAGCCCGGCATTGGCCCTATTACTCGTGAATGTCCAGTTCAAGCCTTTTATACTGATAGACAAACTCTTCAAACAGCTTGTTAAACGCCAAGAGCTCCAAGCAGTTCAGAAGATCCTTGTTATCCTCCTGCTCCACGTAGCAGAGCATGTTGTGGATGTCCCAGGTGATAGCCAGCAAATACGCCAGCTCGGATTCCCTAAAAACTTGCTCCCCCGTGTCTGAGTCACCAGTCTCCTGTTTCCACTGCTCGACACACTCCTCGCAAAAGTGCCTCTTCTCCTCTTCCATATAAGGCCTGCAGCTGGCCATTTTGCCGTCCTTATCAACCCACTTGAACACCTTTTGCATGAAGTGTCCACCAATGTCAAAGGCTCGGTAGTTCCGAAAGACGAACTCAAAATCTATGAGGACGATCTTACTTTCTCCTTGTTTGGGATTGTTCTTCACCATCACATTCATGAATGGTACATCGTGGATGCACCATCCCTTCTTTCCCCCTATCGACTCCAGCCTGTCTGCTATCCGCCTTATCTTTGAAGCAAAGTCGTAATCAATGAGATCGTCCATGGTAACGCCCCTTTCATGGAAGAGCTTTTTGAGCTTGAGCATCTTATGATACTTTTCAAACTGCCTGGTGATGATATCGTAATAGACCTGATTGGGTTTCTCCTCCAGCTGCATCTTCATGGCGTGGAAAGCGGCATACCCTCTAGCCACAGCAGCTCGGATACTGTACCGGCGTCTTCCACATCTTCTGGCTCCAAATTGCGAGCATCCAGAAACTCGTCGACCCTTCCCAACGTGCCGTCCTTTGTCTGGAAGAACCCGTAAACCTTGGCACCGAGACCTGACTGACCGTAATCGTAACATAGCTGTGCTTCTTCGTGCTTGTTGGGGGCCAAGTGTTTGAAAACTTCGATTATTATGTCGAGTTCGCCGTGGAACTTAAGGAAAACCCTGCGAGGTCCTGTATCCGCGTCACCTTCAGTCTTTGGTCGTTCTATAGTATAGTTTTGGTTTGCTCCAGCATTCTTCTTTAGAAAGAGTGTTTCTGGATCCACGATTCGCCACTCGTTGGTGACAAATATTCCGACAATATCTTTGATGGCAGCCTTAGTTAATGGGCCATCTCGGGACAGAGCCACGGGAACGCTTGTGCAGGTTACCATCTCCTCGTGTACAGTGGCGACCGCTTTCGCCTTCCATGTCAGGGACACAGAGGCACTGTTTCAACCCCTAATCACATGAGACGCTAATCTAGATGTGAATAGCGTGTAAAGTATACAGACTCTCTTTCACCCCGACCCAGTCTCTATAGCAAACTCCTCCGACACCATTACGCGGTCACCTGCTCCGATATCATACTCCTTTCCCCTCACGTAGTATACTCGGCCTCGCTCAGCATAATGAAGCCCATTGGCATTAGGCCAAGACTTACGCCAGTAGAAATGCACAGCATGCCTTTGTGTTGCATCCCTTGTACTGTTCGTATTGTCCTGTCACCTGGATACGCACTGATATTGGAGGCCTTTTTCAGTGAGTGCACCGATTTGGAGAGATTTTCCCTGGCGAAATTCAATGTCCAACCCTATTCTGTTATCCAGTTCAATATGTTTTTGAATAATTCACACAATTCTCCGTCCAATCTATCCTTACTTCAGATACTCCTCGAAGAAATCTGCCGTCTGGGCATACCTGCTGCCGGTCAGCTTCTATCGTCTATTTCAGCCCAACAAAGACTTACCCTCGAATGTACTCGGCGAGACTCTCCTCTCCCTCCAAGTTGGCTCGAGCTCCCATCCAGCCATGCCACATGGAGCCATACGTCTCGACCATGCCGCCAATTCCATTATTGCCGATGATCTCAGCGTAGCCCTGGACGGCGTTGGCGGGCTCGTCTTTGGATGCGAGGACAAGGTGGGGGATGGTCAGATTTTCCGCGTCAGCTTTGTCCATGCGACTGTACTGGATTATTAATCCATGTCGATCTGTCAGAAAAGTAGAAACTTACCCGGGATGGGTTTGGACAGTAGCGGCAAACGGTGTATGAGGACCGGAAGCCAGAACAGCCACCTATTCCAGTCAATACCCAATATTTACCCCTTAACATATAAGATGCTAAAACCGACTTTTCCGCCCCAACACAACCCAAACGCCCCCCAGCTCTTCACAGACGGAAACTGTCTCCGGTACTCGTTTACTGCACCAAGCACGACGTCAACGTTCTTGGCGATATCCGCCCTAGTCGACATAAAGTCCATCAGAGCCGCCTTCTTCTCTTCGGTATCTATGGGCAGCCAGTCGTGTTGGGCGGCCTCGCCGTGGAAGAAATCCGGCATCAGGACGAAGGCGTTCAGTCTCGTGGCGAGGAGGTCGGCGCCTTGGAGGGTCTGGCTGGACAGTCCGAAAATGTCGTAGATGTCGACGATACCGGCGGCAGCATCGCGGGGGCCGGTGATGTCTGCCTCGTGAGTTTCTTTTATTAAATTCGGTTGAGAGAACTTACAGGTATTGAGACCGGCGATAGTTTGATAGGCGCCTTTGGGGGTGTAGCCTTGGGATACGACAGGGGTCATCGTACGGCACGCGTCACAGGACATAATGAAAATTGAAACAATTGTGAATACGGATAGAAAAATGAAAGAAGAGGTGCATTTGAAGAGATAAATAAGCACTCGTACTTTAGGCGGAGTTAAGACGGCCTGGAGGTGCCAAATCGGCGTGGTATGAATTTTCCGGTACCGGGCCGGACACGGATCTATATAGCCAAGGTCTAAGCTAGCATCTGGGCCGCTTCCCTGAACCGGGCCGCAAACGAAATCAGGATCTCCGAAATCCAGGTCGATGTCCACTGAAAAAAGGGTTTGCATCGGCAAATTAAACATAGCAGCGGGCAATTTATAGAGATCGGCGGTTCGGTTAGCAGACACCTTTTCATATCATACTACGTCACTTACGGACATAGGAGCTAATGAATCCCGACGTAACAAGGCTAGGAAGGTATAAGTCCATCCAATGTCGATTTCTGCAAAAGAGCCAGATACAAACACAGAAACTCTGATAAACAAACAATCAAGCAACCTCTCAACTCCTAAGCTCAATTACGCCCCCTCCAAGGCTCTAACGAGTATACATTATGCAGATCGTTGCGATCGCAGAGGTGCCTACCACTAGGCAGTCCGGCGACAGTTCGCTGCGCACGGGAGGCACCGTCCGCCAGACTTTGCTTACGGACAGCACGGCGGATGGGCTGAACTTTCGCTTCATCCGCAGTCAGTATCAGGGCGGAGATGCAGCCTTCGAGTCACCGAGGCATCACCACGCCTTCCAGCAAATCCGCTTCACCGAAGCTGGCTCAGTCAACTACGCACCTGGCCATGATATCCCACAAGGCGATATCGCGTATTTTCCGCGCGGAGCTTACTATGGTCCGCAGCGCAAGGACCATGGAACTGGCCTCTTGCTCCAACTCGGCTTTCATGGCGAGCACCAGTCTGGACCACATTGGACGCAGCACCGCGCGGCCGCCCTAGAGCGCCTTATTGCGAAGGGCCGCCTTGATGGCGGCATCTACTACGAGCGGGATGAGGCCACTGGCCAGGAGATGGCGCGCGATGCCAACCAGGCGCTTTATGAGGAACAGTATTTTGCGCAGACGGGCCAGAAGTTCTCTATTCCGTGCGAGGGGTATGCCGAGCCCATCCTGATGCACCCTGCGGCCTTCGAATATTATCCGGCCGCTGATGGCGTCCGGATTAAGCAGCTCGGGCACTTCTTCGACCATCCCGGCCCGAACGCCGACATCCGGATTGGCATTGTTGAACTGGCGGATCGCGCTTCCTACGTCTTCGTACCCGACCGCGCCCAGATCGCCTGGACACTCGATGCCGGCCTAAGGGTGGAGGGTACGACGTATGGCAAACTCACCTGTCTCTACAGCCCGCGCGATGAAGCACTGACAGTTCGTACTGACACCACGGCGGCGGATCATAAACTCATCGAGATGTACGTGCTGGAGTTGCCGCGCCTTGACTCTGTTGAGGGACTAGTCAGGTGCTGACAGAGTTTACCGCGGGAAATTTCTTTTCTCATTCTCAGACAGGTTGGATATCAGTGTATCTCAAATATATTCCGTCATCAAAAAGACTGACTCGTGCAGTTACTGGTAACTGCTAGAGAAAGGAGCTGAGATCAATACCTAAGGTGGATGCTAGGATATGCTCTCCAAGCTGCGTCTTATGAAGGGCACAATAAGATCGCATAAATAGTTCAGCACGTATGGTTCCTACGTAGTCCATATCTCTCCTCTCTTACGATACCAAAGTTCCTATAACCTGTGGAATCTGTAGCTCAGGTAGCTGCTACTATAAAGGAATAAATTAGCTCGATGACTGGTTATTGTCTATATATTGCTAATGTCTGGCTGGACACACATATAGAAAAAGAAATGCCTGTAAATGAATAGAGTAAAGAGGTTTAATCGCATCATTATAAAGAGCTATTTCTGTCTTGCTATCAAACTTATGCTAGGAATTCTTACAAGGCTATGATAGGAATACGGTTGTTTTGTAAGGCACTTATATGATACAGAATTTTTATCGTTATATCTACAAAGTCCTGCACCAATCCCTCGGCAGTGGGGCCCGAGAAAAGAAAAGCAGTCATCAGGGTAGAAACAGATTTTGTCGAACTGAGGGGTGGTATTTTACCACTAAGAACAGGGTTATTCATCAAGTACCCATTCTCTCTTTGTCTCTGTAAGGTAAACGGGATACGCTCGGCATACCAGCGTCGTAACACGCTAGGAACGACTCCTGAGATCTGATAACGCTTCAACAGCAAGATCCAGATAGAACAACATCAATGTATCTCAATGGAACACCTCAATACTAGCACATACCAGTATCCGCCAATCCGACAGATTTCGCTATCGACTGTAACAAGACATGTACATACACATACATTATTCAATTTTTCATTTGTTCTGAGTCATACACTGGTGTTCGTTTAGTTTGAAACATCCCTCTAGATTACATAAGTTTCTGCCAGGCTTTCTGCCAGTGAAAACCTCGCATTCCACGCTATAAAGTTAACCCGTGAGAAGGAGCTCAGGGGCGGTCAGCTCAATATGGCGGGTGGTAGTCAAAAGCGGTCAAACAGGGTGTTTAAACTAAACGAACACCACTGTACGATTCAAGGCTGAAACGTATTATCAAATATAGGATTAACCATATACGGGTTAGCGGGTCCTGTGATTAGGGTTTGAAAGACTTTCTCTATGTTGTTGGCAAGGAAGGCGATAGCGGTCGCCACTGTACGTGTGGGAGAATGAAGAGCCACAAATTTGGCTGCGGAGAAAATGACTGCAGAAAAACAGCCCAAAGTTTTTCTGAAAAAGAATAGAAAGGAAAATTGCGAGACAAATTCTTCACATTCGCAGCAGAGGGAAAAGAGACGGGGTCGTCGAAAAGAGAGGAGGTCAACAGAAAAGAGTATGTTCACTGGTTGCAACTGGTCCCATGTAATATTACGGTCCTATGACGATGACTCATTATGAGCAATACAATAATTACGAGATCTTTCCCCGAGTCAAGTAGTAAGAGTATGGAGGTATAGCTGATTTCGAATACTACTGTAACCATACAAGTCCAGTTAATCGTTCCCTCTCAACCCTTTCTTTTCTTCCATCCATCAAAATCTTCACTGGAGCTTCAGTTCCCACCCGCCTTCCCTCAATCCTACCCAGAACATCTAGTACCCTACTCATCTACAGGAACCAGCATGTTGAGTCAACTATGGAATCAACCTTTCCAAGACGTCGACGACCTCCCATATCATGGCGCACAGAAGCTTTCGTTGAGAGAAAGGCATCTCCTTAAATATGGTTACGCTCGCCCGACCTCTTACATCTACTTTACTCCATCACTTTTTCTCTTCCCCTAACTGCTCCTCCTCTAAAACCCGTCTCATGCTGCTCGGCTCTCCTTTAGCCACTGCAGTGGCATATTTCCCTGGTGCCAGTTTAAGTTTAAGTTACCTGAGTATTGACTACGCCTCTAATCTCACATGTCAAAATCAAACTTCTCGGCGAGGAACACGCCTTGCGCCGCTCTATCACGTTGTCTGGAGGCGGTGTTGATGAGGACTACACTTATACTCCAAGCACAGCACACAGCAAGGCTAGGCTCAGCTATGCATATGCCCCGGTGATAAAAAACATTCATATCATGCACTAAAAGGAGTGCGATGAATCCCTGTGTATTTCTTACATAATACGCTGTATGCCCTATCACAGAAAAAGTACCGCAAATTGTCATTGAACCTAAGCAAGACGAAGTATCACTCTTCACCCCGAAGCATGGAGAATTCAGAGGAACAAACAGGATGGTGAAAGGAAACCCAATGCTAGAAGGAAAACAATCCAGTTTGAACAGTCGGCGCACCGCCGCAACCAGTATAGGGCTCGGATGTTATCAGTGTTTCCAAGTTGACCAGCGCTCGCTATAAACTGCTAAGAATATTTTTTAGCTTACGTGTGGCCCATATCTAGAAACGGAGTTCCATGGTCTCTTGAACGGTGAACCATTGGCGAGATTATTAGCCGTGATTCCCCTCGGATTTCCGGAATGATGATGAGGTCGATTTGTGCGGATCTAGCTCCATATTAGTTTGGGATGTCAGTACTGACAACATCAGTATCGAATACGAGATTTGGATGTTTCTCTAGGACGCCTGAATAGCAGATGTGCAGATTGTTTGGTATGCTTTTCTCTTCGAACTTGCGAGAAGCCATCAAGACAGACAGGGGACAGACAGAGCATGCTAAGGAGCGCAGGAGATCAACCACGTCGCTTTAGCCAGCTATAAGTAAATGCCATGTCCTTTACCTCGAGATCAGCTGCCGCACAATTGACTCTCATATGTGATTGCCTATAGCTCATTTCATAAATTATACCTTTTCATTGGTAATTTAAGGCACAAGATTTCCGCAGGGAGGCGTTTGATATACGACTACTGATTTGGTTACGTGGTTCCTGTGAAGCCCGGCACGTCAAGACCAGGAAGGCGTAGTGGTCGTAGTATTACGTTGCAGGTAGCAATAGTGAAGACCTCCAAAAAGGAAAACTTTCAAGAGAGAAGGCTCGAAGAAGGAAAGCCCCAAGACTGCAAACACACACTTCCCGATTAGGAATAGTAGGGCTCCCCTAGGTATTCACTTCTCTCACTTCCCTTGCTTCCTATTTATTTCCTTCTTTTCTCAGGGATTCATCCCCCACTTCTCTCCCCGTGCATCATTCGGAAGTGGTCCAGCCTTGGCCCCGTTTTGTTACCAACGGAAAGAACCGATCCCCACACTGCTTGCAGTGTTACCAGCTTGTATGCCCACGGCAGATGGTATTGGGAGTGTACTCGCTTTGCTCTACTGCATATCACGTTTACCCAGAAGAAAGTGACGGCGCATGGATCTCGAAAGCCTTCGGGCGACTAGAGACTGTTTTGCTTGACTTCTGGAAGAGTAACGAAAGCTCGATCTCGAACGTCAGAGGTGACTAGTACCAGTATGGGTCTTGCTTTACAAATTCGAATAACGGCGCAGCATGGGAAGGTTGACCAGTTCAGTTTGACCTCTGTACGCAAATGAAGGGGTTTGAGTCTACTTACCCGAAGGTCACGCAGAGGAGACATGATAAATCTCATAAATTTTTCGTTCTTGAAGCTTGGCCTCTGGGCTTGCCCATGCTGATCTTATTTGATAAGTGTCATAGCTGTGACACTTAGCACTGGACTTCGTTCTAGTACGCTTTTTTTTTCATCACTTGGCCGGCTTGTCCGTTCATTTGGAGAAAGGAAATTGCTTCTCTAGACTACGACTGCTACCTGCTCAGTATTGACTCACGCTACATGGGCTCCCACCTTACATCAACCAACAGCGAGCTTCTCGCGTGAGCTGCATGATTCATTCTCGAAAAAACCTTTTCACTGCGTCTCCTTGTCATTTAAAGACACAAGTGTATTCAAAGTTGAAGTCTGCAGCTTTCACTTCTGGCTAAGGCTGTTCCAAGCAATCACTGTTGTCTAAAATGAGCAAAGTTTCCTTTAGAAGAAAAGAAGAAGATCAGCAAAGAAGGACACTGGATGAAGAGACAATTCATGTATTCAAACACCTGGCCACATTACCCCGGTGAAATTCAAGGAAAGCATGGAAGCTATTGCAAGCAAGTTTCCAAAGTCCAGCCGCAGCTTTGCTAAGTCCAACCAGATCAAACACTCCATATTATGCTACCACTTCCAACTGCAGCGACAGATGGTCGGGATAGTAAGCAGTAGAGAGTCGATTTTAGGGTAGTACCGAGCGACAGCCAACCTATTAAGCTTCAGAAGAGGTTGGTGAGGGGATGGGAGTGTCGTAAGTGTGTCAGCAATGGCGCGCCTCGGACAAGCATGCCAAGCAGCGACAGAGCGACAAGGAAGCGACGGCGACGGCGACAGAGTAGAGCAAGAAGCTTATATGAGCGGTATGCACGATCAAGAAGCGACAGGCTCTAGCAGGTAGCAGCAGGCAGATCTGCCAGGTTTGCCGGGATAGAAGTCAAAAGAGGCAATGCCATTAGAGAGAATCACGGTGCAGCGCTGCTAGGGGACGACTGTGACGCGTTAGCAGGCGACAAGTGTGTGATGCCAGTCGAGAAGACTACAAATGCTTGTGTTCATTTGACATCTCAAGAGTCACCAGAAGAGGGACTATGATATGAGGCAGCGGGCGTGTCAAAACATGAAGACCGAGGTGCGGACGTCGAAAGTCGATCGACAGGCGATGAGGTCAGCATGCAGAGACTGATTTTGAAAGCATACATGGTATAGACCAAAGCAGAAGATACAACGGGCTGCAGATGACCGAAGGGCGCGACTGAGCGTGAGGTGCTTATTGTTGTTGGGGGCTGCTGGATTCGGCGGAAATGGCGCTATTCGGAAGCTGAGCGACGCAGCAATGTAGAGGACCCTTATGAGACAGTGATCTAGGTCAGCAATGTTTTAGAATTAATCATGATCTGAAGAGAG